CTATATTCCAAATTTCATATATTTTGATTGAGTAGTTTTTTAAGATATAAGCATTTTGTGACTGATTGGGGTTTGTGAGACCCCACCAGAGTAAATTTGTAATTTTGTAAGATATTTTTTTTTAAAAATTTTTAAACTTATAAATATATACTACTATATTATAAAATTATTAAAATAAAATTGAAATATCTTATATTTTGAATGAGATATATGAAAAAGGAAACGTAAAGATTTTCTCTGGTGGAGTTATTTATTCTTATTTTTCACCAGCTGACTCAATTCTCAAATTATTTTTATCATTTATAATGATTTTTGCAAATTGTGAAACTAAATATATAAATATTTAAGATGTAATATCATTTTATTTGAAGTTATGACAATATATTTAATAGTGAGGATGAAGATTTTATATATGATAGTGATCATGATACACAATTTGAATTAGATGAAGATGAAATGTTAGTTGCAGACAATAAACTTAATATTATTTAGGTAAATGTAAAGTATATTTCTCTTTAAAATTAGCTAAAATATAAGTTTACTAAATGGAAAAAGGATCTTCCTAAAGAATAAGAACTCATCAACAAAATTTAGTTATTCATCTGCCAGGAGTAAAAAAATAAGGGAAAGAAGCTGACACTCCTGAAAAATGTTTTAAATTGTTCATAACACCAAAAATGATTGAAGAGATTATTTATCACACCAATGAACAAATTAAGATTATATGTAAAAACTATACTGACCAATATGAAAGTTCTACTAAAGAAGTTGATGTAACATAATTCAAGATATTACTGGGAAATCTTTATTTAGCTGGAATTTTTAAATAAAAAAACAAGATTTTTTTTTCCCAATATGTAAAATAAATTTATGTTTAGAACACATTAATGTTTTATGTAAGAAAATGTTTTGCATGTCAAATTTAACATATTTCAATGTTTTATATATTTTTATGTTTGAATTTATTAGTGTAATTTTTTTTTATATGGAAGAATAAAGATTCATATTATGAATTATCATGATTATATGATAGATAAGTTATTTTTTTAATTTAATATTTGAAATTTAAAAAAAGTAAGCTTTTTTTAAAAAAAATTGGCACAAATTATAATTATCCTCATCATCTTTATTCTAAGATTAAGAAATAAAAATAAATAAATATTATATCAAGTTTAAGGTTAGTTCTATCTTATATCCAAATATTAAATAAAAATAATGAATATAACTGGAGATATATACATATGAAATTAAGGTCTATTAAACCCCACCCGAGTACTAACGTCATTTTTTTCACCGGAGTATTGAAGTGTTAATATACAATAAATATTTAAATTAATTTTAACTTGATAAACTATCCTATTTGAAATATAATACTTTGCAATTCAAAATTTATAAAGCCCTTTTATATTTTTTAAAAAATTTGTTCTAGGGGTATCCCTCTCCCCAGGTACGCGTCTTAATATGAGATTAGCTATTTAAATTATTATCCCTATTTTTGTTAGTAAAAAATTTTAAATGTTTCTTTTATCTTTTCAAAATCACAATATTTTTTAAAAAAAGCATTAAACATGTTTTTAAATACTCATTTATATCTTATCATAACTCACACAATATATTTTAATGATATTTTTTAAAAAAATATTTAAAGCTTTTGTATAAAAATGGTGGTAAAAATGAAATAATAATTAATTTATTAAAGTGGATCCAATAAAAATGAAAGTAATTAATACAATAATATGGGAGGAAAAGGAAGCCAATAAAAAATATACAATTTACCAATAATAAATAAATATTGTTTACTTTACCAAAACAAAAAATATATCATATATAATATTAGAAATATTTTACAAAAATAATGTTAAATTGATGGGGGTACATAGACAGACGTTTGCCTTCGGTGCCAGAAAGTGCGGGTTGGAATCTGGTTGATGCAAAAAAAATATTTTCTTTTCTGGGATCTAATTTCGCCCTAAATTCAAATTTGAACTTGAATTGATCCAATTCTGAACTTGAATTGGAAGGGTATAATAGTCTCTTTAAATTTTATAACTTTAAGTTGATAGGAAATTTGATGGAAAAACAAAATTAACGTTAAGATGATAGCAAATAGTTCACTTCTTGATCACTATATATTAGATTTAGTATTGTAAAGTAACTTTGATAGTAATGCGTTACCTTTTTTGAAGAAACGAAACACCATTCGTTGCCTCCTTCCAGAGGTAACGAGAACGTGTTTCTTTTTTTAGTAACGGTAACGCAAAACGTTACTTATTGTATTATAAAATTACTTATATTTATTTTTTAAATATTATAAATAATTTAAGTTGAGTTTTTAATTCACATCAACCACCAAGTTCCTTCATTTTTATTTTAAATTTTCGTGTTAACTTTTCAGTAAGATTAATATTGAATGAATCAATGTATGTGTTAAATTACTTTTTATTCTCTAATAAAATTTAATTTATTTTATAAAGAATATAATGTCAATTGTACATTTTCTTAAGATGAAAATGAGTTAGGTCTGCCTTGGCTACAATATGAAACATATTTTAGACCAAAAAAAACTTACAAAGTTTACATTTTGTAAGTGTAAATTGTCCTAACTCAAATATTTTAACTTAATTTGTGGAAAGGCATCCTCCAAACTGTCACTATTTTTAAGGAAAAAATGGTAAGATGTCTGATTAAACAAACTGTGAAAGATAATTTTTTTAAGGAGAATGGTCACACAATTGACAAATATTGTGATAAATCCAAATTACAGATATTTCCAAATAATGACACATTCATAAATGAATATTGTATGGCTATATATATAATTTTATAGGTTATGGAACCTATTTCTAAAAAGAAAAATACATTTGAAAAATCTCATTCCAACGGTAATTATTATAATATTTTAAAAAATGGCTTTAAATAATTTTAGTTTGTAACTTATTAATGCAATTATGCAAGACAGAGATAAAAGATATACTTGAAATATTGTTTACAATTTTCTTTCTTTCTTTCTTATGATAATATTATATTTCAATATACGTTGACCATCTATAAAAATGAATATATATTATCAGCAAAAATTCACCAGCTATTTAAATCAGATTGGCCCTGGTAAAATTAGATGTCAACGAAGGAGGAAGTTTTAACTTATTTCCTATTTAAAAAAAGATCTTGACTAAGAAAAAGCAGACTAGAATTCTTTAAAAAACAACATACCTACAGATTATTTTCTGCTAAAGGTTAAAAAAAATTGGATGAGGATTTGAATAAAGATTCTTTTGAAGATGAAATAAGCTTTTTTCAAAATAATATTATATTTTACTAAATTTCCGTAATAAAAATTTTTATTTACTAAATATAATACGACTCTCCCATCCTCTGCATCAGTTGAACGTGTGTTTAGCATGGCGAAAGCTATGTTGAGCAGCTCTCTTGCTTATCAGATCAAAATTTTAGAAATCAATTGTTGTTTATTTTATTTATAAATTATATATTAAAAAATTATCATAAAAAGAACTTATCTTATAATATATTATTATTTGCATAATTTTATATTAGGCTTCACAAGTGCCGAGAACTTTGGATAGCAATAGGTTTATGTTAGGATGCTCCAATTGTTTTCCTTACACTTGCATTTTAAGTAAAGTGGCAGTCAAGTCGGATGGTTACCTCTCCACTACAAATTCAGCAAGGAGAGAAGCATCCAACTTCAATCAATTCTCTATTATGTAAGATTTTCAATAAAGCAGGGAACCCATCTAACCTGGAACCTGTAGGGCTCAATACCGCTGACGGGAAAAGAGTGTCCATCAGGCCGCGTTTATAACTAGAAATCTCGAGATTCAAGATGTGAAAGAACATCGTCCTTGAATAATGAATCTTGGATGATGGATTTTTAACTTTAGAATTAACCATTAACCCATATCTTTGACAGTTGTAAGGTAGACATATGGCTAAGTCTAGCTTAATAATCATAGTTTATCTGAATTCCTTATTTGTCAAAAAGTATATATTGACAATCTTGATAAGTCTCTAACCATTCATGACCTGATTTATCCATAGACCTAGTTTAACATGACTTCATCAAAAGGTTTAATTAATTAAAGAATGCGATTTCTTTGTTAGTGGAGAAATAAAATAAAGTATTGATCGGGGTAATGGTAATCCACCAGATTTTGCTGGAAGGATCGTTTTAGCCAGCTATTTTGGTTAAATTTTAGGTTTACTCTGTTCTCGAGTATCGAATAAAAATTTTCTTCATATTTTTGAATTATAGAGGGAAAACAGAATTGAATTTTGGAAATATTTAAAAGGTTTTTAATGATATAAATGACTTAATAAGAAAACAAATATTTGATAGATTTTTAAATTAGATTAATACGATTTTATTCTAAAAATGTTTGACTGCTTGTAGATTTTCCTACTGGTGACTCAAAAACAAAAATTTTATATTTAATCACTTGAGTAAGAAGACCAATAAAAAGGGGAAAAAATTTGAAGATGTGTAAATACCACATTTCTATAATTAAGGGATAAGTTTATGTAATGTCTATTTAATTTTTGGGACAAAAACGTAATGGTGATTCCAGATATTCCCCAGAACAAATATAAAAGTATCTGTATATACAATGTATTATAGTTTGACGTGGACAGTTAATCTCGATGTTTTTAAGTCGATAAAAATTAGTGTAAAAATCTATCATAAAAAACATTAAAAATTTTAATACCGAACTTTTAAAAATTATACGATTCATTTCACATACTAAAATTGTCATAAAAATAATAATACTTTATTTTTATCAATTCAATTAGCTGCTTAGAGATCCGTTTAAAAAGTAATAATAAATGCAATTATAGGATATTCCTGTATTTATTTATTAAAGTAAATATAACACTTGAAATATTCCTAGGCTAAATTCCTTGAAAATTTTGCAACAAAAAAATAGCCGTAAAAAAAATTAAAAGAAAAACGACATAATATTTTTTTTTATCCAGTATGTTACCTAGAATCAAAGTTATCTGTGCCTGGATCGTATTTGTAGGTAGGAGGAAACGTGATCGGCCCTTCTTGAAAACCGGGAAATATTTTGCCACTGTTCTTTTGTTTTGTCAACTTTACGCGAATTTTAGAAAACAGTAAATTTAATAGCATTTTTGCAAGTGAAAAACTACTACAAAGTATCATTCTAAAACTTGAAGTTATATTAATTCAGCGAAATTTGTAAAGCTAACCATTTGAATAATAGATTTTAAAAATATTTTGCAAGTTTGAAATTATACAATAAAATGATACTTAGTTTGAATTTGAAATAAGATTTTGATAAAAGGCATCGAAAATTGTCAATTCCATTTATTTTAAATTAGGGGGCGCCCTACCTCATTCTTTAAACGTTGCTTTAAAAAAATCCAATTTCAATATAATATACACTATATATAATATGATCTTACAATCTTTCCTAAAGTTGGGAGGGGGGGGGGGGTTGATAAAAGGCAATTAAAATTGCCAATTCCATTTATTTTAAATTAGGGGGCTCCCTACCTCATTCTTTAAACGTTGCTTTAAGAAAATCCAATGTCAATATAATATACACTATTTTTAATATGATCTTTCAATCTTCCCTAACGTTGGGGGAGGGGGAAGGGTGGGGGGGGAGGGGGTCGAAGAATTTTAAAAAATTCCGAACTATCTATGTAAACCCTCATACCGCTGTAAATGCAGGGTAAGGATAGTTTATTTTTAATAATTTATATATGGGTAATTCCATGACGAATCGACCAGTGATTGAGTCGACCATCTCAAAAATTAATGAAACTTGACATGTTAGTTATGATGTAGATGTTAATAAAATCAAAATTTTAGAGCGCTAGTTTAACCAGATCAAAATATATAGGCTTTCAAAGTCGAAAATCAATGCGCGATTTCATAAAATCTTGTTTTTTTTAAAAAAAAAGACTTAAGATAGTTACAACTATAAAGCATTTTATTGGATGGTCTCACCTTAAAATATTAAAATTCTGCGGAAATCGAAACGAGAATTAAGTTTGAAGCAGAGATGCACCAATACCGATACAAAATATCGATCAACACTTTAAATTTTTACCAAATTACTGCCATGTACAAAATTTAAAAAAAATTTAGATTTTTATTTAATAGAAATTCATTTTTTTTATTTTGATTATCTGCCTGGCTGGCAAAGTTATAAATCCGCCAAATAGAAAAGAATACAAACTTTGTTAGTTGGAGGCAGATAAAAAAAAATCTTTTAGGATAATGTTGGAAATTCATTTTTTATTAACAAAATTTTTAACTGTTAGAAATTTATTTCATATATTAAATACTATAATCAAATGTCTAAATAATATTGATGAATTAATTATATAACTTAAAAAATATATTAAGTATTGTTTGACAAAACTCTTGAATATTTATCTGAAAATAAAAATGTTGGAGCAAATGGGATTCAACCGCATTAAACACTAAATAATTATTAAGTATATGTGGTATCAGCAAAAAAATGGTATTGGCGCATCTCTGATTTAGGGTTAATTAATTTGTATCTATCATCTATAGATATATTTTAAACTTATCTACCATTGATTATATTTACTTAATTTAATATTTAAACTTGATCGAATTTCATGAGATCATGGAGTTTATTGTTAGTTAAATGTAATTTGGCGTTTTCTTGGTTGGCGACGTCCAATCTGTAATTCAAGTCCCCAAACCAGAAGATATAGCTTTAAAAAAATATGAATAACTATTTTTGGGGATATTTTTTTTAAATACTCATGGTCTAATATTCCTATGTAGGCACATTGACTGAATTGGATTTTAGTGCATATATCTTGAAAATCCTATAACAAAAAATAAAAACTAATTATTATTTAAATTATTATATGTAGTGATTAATGTGATAACTTTTAAAATATCAATAATTATTGGTTATAAATTAGAGTGCTGCAAAATACTTTTTTTAAAGCCCAAGATTAAAGAAATATTCTCAAACACAATTTTTTTTATAAAATTTAGAGGGATAAGATTTTTTAGGATAACGAATCTTTTTCTAAATAAGAATCTGTTATATGATTAATAATTAGGAGAAAAAAGAGAACATGACTCTAAAATTGTCATATCATTCGGTTCGGGTTGTATCCTATTTCTTTTTTAAAAGTATTTTTTCAATCGTGAACTTCGATCAAGAAAGGAAGAATGGGAAGTAAAAATTAATAATTATTTTTGGGCCTCTAGCATATAATAAATACACCTAAAAATTGTTTAAATATATTTTTAATTTAATTTAATTTTGAAATTTATATTTAAAAATCTGATAAATCCAGTTTCCAAAATAATAAAAAATGTCGATGAATGAGAATGATAATGAAGATAATTTTGGTATAGATCATATCGACTAAATAATTTCCCTGGAAAATAATGATAATATGGAATTTCCTTTTCCTGGTCGCAAAATATTTTAATCTCGTTAAAAAATTAACCTATGGTAAGAATTTTATGTAAGATGCGGAAGGTTTATCATCAAACAAGACTAGTAGCTTCAACGAGGAAACTATTAAAAGTAATATATCCAATAAATTTAACAATTTATAGCTCAATCCTTAATCTTTAAAATAAAATTTGAATCAAAGCTGTATTAATTATAGTTTTTGAACTAGATGAGTTTATGTGAAAGTTGATTTTCTGGCACAGACTAAACATTGTATGTTTCAACTGGTCATAAGATATTATTCAAGAATTATATTATAAATTAAAAATTACAATAAATAATAATATTAACATTTCATTTTGTCCATACTCATCTATTTACTGATAAATTATTATCTGGATATTAAACATGCTTAAATTAACTACTCATCTATTTATATATTTTATCAAAACATGCTAAAATGTACTTATTTTAATCCTTTCATATTTTAACAAATTTTGCGAGAAATTAGTCCAATAGGTAAAAGAATGGTGGTCTGACCAGATGATAGACATGGCCATCCACTTATCTCCTACATAATTTTTATTCTAACTATTACTATTTTTGCGAGAAATTAGTCAAATAGGTAAAAGAATGGTGGTCTGGCCAGATGATAGGCATGGCCATCCACTTATCTCTTACATAATTTTTATTCTAACTATTACTATTATAACTGATCAAAAACGCCACCTACTATAGTTGATTTTTTTGAAATAAATAATATTACTGAAAATCCTTTAGAAATATTTTCTTAAATCTAAAAAATACTCAAATAAATATTTTTGATGATTTTTTTATGTAAAAAATATGCACATTATATTTAATGCTACATGGACTGCTAGTATTGAACTATTATTTAGTCATAGCTAGTGTAGTTAAACTGCTCGGTTTGAGCTGATTTTTATAAACGGCTAACTCAATATTATATCCAGAAAAATACTATACAAGCCTAAAAATTTGCTTATAGATGGCATCTATTAGCCAAATCTCAAGGTTTAATCAATATTTTTCTGGCTAAAATATTAATGGTTTTAAAAATAAGCGCTAATAACCGTTCATCAACACTAGTCATAGCTTATACTTTGATCGTTGCTCTAGATTGGGTATGACAGTATGAAAATGTTATAATTAATGAGATGCAATAAAAAATAAATATTTTATATATTTGAGATTTTAGTCAAATTTTTTATTTGTGGAAATAGAAATAAGTAAAAAATATTTTAAAAAAATTCTAAAGTAGCGTAAAAAGCAGCTAATAGCGCGCTACTTTTTTGAAAACGTTAGCGGTAGTTATAGTGCGCTATTTTGACTACTTTTAAAAGTAGATTTTAACAACACTGTTCCCATCCCAACACATTCCTTCTCCAACCATAATTATATTCGACTTTTTTTAATCACATGGAATAGTCAATAAGTATTTTACTTATCTATCGTAATTTAGTAGTAAAGATTTTGGGCATGCCACTTTTAAAACACTTGCAATACTAAGACATTGAAACGGCCCGGGTATATTTAAAAAATTTAAAATATGGCCCGGCCCTAAAACCAGCCTCAGGATTGGGACTAATATAACAGTCTCTTAAAAAAAGTATAAATATGATAGACTTGGTTCCTTCTCTCCAATTCTTCAGCGTGAGCAGCAAAGTGAGTATTAACAAAGCACATGGGTACGCCATGCAAATTGAATCGTATAGCTACACCACCTTTATTTCCCTAGTATGATATTATGGGTAATTTTTAGTTATTTAATATATTTGTATTTCTATTTTATGTGGAATTTCGAAATTGCTTTTGCTATTATCTTTTATCTTAGTCAACTTTTTAATTTTACCGTAACTATTTGAAAATTACCATACATCATTTATAAAAATTGGATAAAATCAGCCAGTGTTTGTTTATTAATCTAATTTAAATAAGCCAGCTAAGTTTCGAATTTTTTATATTTAAAAAAATATATATATAAATTAGCAAATGAAAATGATAAACACTAAAAGAGAATCAAATCACCATCTTTCCGAGTAGCCCAGTTCCTAACGTCTCACTAGCTATATCGCTAATAAAAGGTAGAATATCCTTTTTAACGAATATTACCAACATCATTCCAACCAATCTGACCAAATGAAGTTTAACGTAAGGGGAAAATGGAGTAATTTCTTCGATTTCTTCGTCTTTGACTTCTATACCTGGGTGGAGGGCTCGGGTATGGGATTTAGAGTGTGGCTGAGCGGAATCGGTGTTGGCTAAGGTTAATGCCTCATAACTATCGCTTAGCTTGTCTATAAGGGATTGTGAATGTTGTTTTTTTTAAATATAATTACTGGGCTGGAAATATTTGAATCTTAAAATCATTTTTTTGTTTTTAAAATCTTAAAATCATTTTTTTTTAAATCTGAATCTTTGGTATTTAAATTATTCAGATTTAATTATATTTATCTAAATCTAATAAAAAAAACTAATTGTTAATTATCAAGAATTAAAATAAATTTTGTTTTGATTTTAAACGTATTCAGTTGTTCATAAATTATTCATTTAATTCAAATTATCACTACCATTATCGTTATGCTTGCCGTAATATTTGGAATAAGAGGGATTGCTATTTTCACCTTTAAGGTTTAACCCCACCAAGTCGGAATTGAAAGAGGTCGAAGGTTTTAAGGATGATTTTTTCGCGTTATATTTTATGGGGCTGATGTAATGATTTCTATAAGCTTGTGACAAGGTGTCCCATTTATTACCATAGTATTTATTGTATCTTAGTTTTTTTTTTATTATGATATATTATTATAAGTGTTTTAGCAAATAATATATATCAAAGAACTGAAGAGGACAAAATTTTAGACCGACCCAAATGTGAAACAAAATACTTTGAAGCCCAGCCAAGATTTCTTTGGAAATTTTTTCCCTGTAGGGATTTTGTATTTTTTAATCATTTTAAAGGCCATTAAAAATTTTATAATATCGTTATTTTTAATTAATTTGGTTCTCTTTTGTAATTTTTATCAAAGATTAATTAAAATCATGAGCTGTAATTCAATATTGAATGCTCCATTATACGATTTTCTAGACGACTAAATAGGCTCGACCCCTATTTTGTAAAAAAAAAAAGGCCAGGGTTTATTGTTCAAATAAATTTTAAAGCCTGACCCATATACCTGGGCCTTGGTTCGAACTTGCAAGTTTCTTATATAAATAAATCATGTGGAATATGTAAGATTATTAAACTGAAAATAAAAATTGTATTGAACGAGAAGCTTGAAAAAATTTAAACTCATATTAGAACAAGTAAATAAGATGATTGTAACCAGAGTTTGGGGAAAGAATAAATTTAAGAAATATAGAGATATTCTTTTAAAATTTATTGGAATTCGTTTTTCTAAGAGCCGGAACCTATTCTAACAAAGGAGTAATTTTTCAAACAATAAAAAAAATGTCATTTTAATGCTTAAAAAAATTAATATAGTGTCATCTTTATAAAATTTGGTTTCTGCTCTATCAAAGACCTATATAATATTATTATAATTTAATAGAAATTTATCTTCATTTTGTTGAGTTGTCAAAGATTTATCAGATAAGGAAGTATTTCCTTTTACAAACTGGAAATGAAAGGAACTAATTTTTGTTTCATAAGTCTAACTTTTAATATCTCATATATTATATTATTTATATTAACTCTGACTATTAAATAAGAAAATGACAAACTTGTATCATTATTATAATGGAAAAAATGAGTGGCCAATAAACTTAAAATTTAATTTAAGCATTCTCTTTAAATACATATAGTATAGGTTAATTCTAATGACACCACTAAATTTAGGAATTCTCTTGGGATATGCAGATTCAACTTTAGCTCCATCAAATAAATTTATAACATATTTTAAAAATTATTTAAATATATTTATATACTTCTGAACAACTTTTCTAAGACAGGAATCACATGCATTTAACCATTCTGCCTCTTTATGGCTCTCATAAAATATATATGCTTCGGTCCTTAAATCTAATTCTTGAAATCTATATAAACAAAAACGCATTCATTTATTGAATTTATTGTGTCTAATTAAAATATTAATCCACTAAATGTTCAGGGATTATAAATACAAAATGATTTAAGGAGAAAGAAAAACTCACGAATAAAAAATATAAAACACAAAAAATAAAGCATGTAAGATTATAAGTGGGAACCTTAGTTGTAGGTATGTTATATTGTATGTATTTATAATATAAGATCTATTTTTATATAATCTATTTATTTTATTCAAATATAATATTAAAAGAGATATCTTTATATATAATTAAACATCATTTAAGATTATAGTTAAATAAAATGAAATATTAATCACAATGTATAATATAAAATTAAGGTATTGAAACAAGCCTATGATAAAGCAAAATTTATAATTATTTTTTTTTAGATTTAAAATAAAGATAAAAGAAAATCTAACTAATGTAATAAAAGAAAGCAAAAATTTGATAATATTTGAGGTTTCTGATAGATTGGCTTATTTTTTTATGCAATATTGTTGAATTTAGATAAAATGTAAAGTATGAAGTAGTTGTTTTGAAATAATAAATAAATAATGTTATTTGCATAAATAATTCTAAAGAGAAAATGAAAATTAGGTATAACCCAATAGCAACTATGTCTGCAGGCCTAGGTGAATCTTCTGGATAATCCCCTAACCAAGGAAACAAATCTTCACTCACAGACTGGCCATTAACATTCCATGAGCCAATATAGACTCTAAATATATATCGATTTTAAATAAGTATATTTCAAATAATTTACATGATAATAATTTATAGATTTGGCTATTTTCCCTCAATAATGTAAGATGGATTTTTATGATATCAAATTTAAATTTTTATCAAATACTATTTTAAATTTTATAGTATTTAAAACCTAATTTGTAATTATAATAATATTTAAATAATAAGTAAGTTAAAACAAGATTTATAATCTTTTTCAATACATTATTAATTTAATAATATGAATTAATAAAATCATTTTTAAAAATACTTAAATAATTTAAATACTTAAATTCTTTCTCTTTGGTATAATCTTGTTGGCATTGTGACATATGAAGTTTAAGAATTACATCCCTATTAGGTAATCCTGTTTTAGTTTTCAAATAGAAATCACTTTTATTGGATGATTTAATTTTTTGACTAATTCCAGATTGTGGATGTGAAAATAAGTCATCATCTTTAGCCAAAGATGGACAAGAACTGTTTCTTCTAAATATCCTATTAATATAGAAAATTTAAATGTATATCAAAATTTAAATATAAGGATATATAATTTTTTATAAAGATGTGTAAACAAAATACATATGAAAAACGTAAAAATAACCTTTCGTGATTTTTTAATTTATCATTTATTTCATTATTATAATCGACAAATTGGTCTTCAAAGGCTAAATCTATATTCCATTTATTATGGAGATTAATTAGATATGGATACCTAGCGTATTTTGCCTAGAGTTTAATCTTTTCATATCTATAAAATATGAGCCATATTTATAGTTGTTATTATGTGCATAATTATATTTCGTTCCTTTATAAATCAAATGACAATAATGAGTAAAATATTGAAAGTTTAATCTGATATTCAGTTTTATTTCCAAAAATTAACCTTAATCATTTTAAATGAATGTATGACAAAAATGGGTGCTAAATGATGACCAATTTTAAAATAATCACGATACCGTGAATAACGTTTAGAAGCAGAAATAACAACAATATATTTATTATAATTATAATTTAATAGTAGTATATTGAAAAGCTCATGAATTGTGTCATACCGTTCTATATCCACATGATGTTAAAAATGACTTTTTATACGTGAATCGATTGATTATAATTACATTATTCTATTTTCATAAACATTTTAAAAAACAAAATGTAATGCATTAAAAGCTTAAAATAATTATTCCAACTTTATTGTTATTTTTAAATTTTAAATATTTCAATTCCAAAAAACCCATCGATCCCAGCTAGTAGCAATGCACGTCAAACCATTTTATAAACAAAAACAAAAGAGTATTTTCTAACAACGACCAATGTCTGTCAAAATATAACATTCTCATTTTTCTATATCAACTTTCTGAATAAAATATGGCCATTTCAGGATTCGAATTTAGCTCTATTTTAGTGCAATCTGAATATTTATAAAATCACACTATGGTCAGATTCGAACTTCCCTTAGTATAGGAACGTTATCATGTCCATATCTAAATTTAATACTCATAAGATAAATTTCGGTATAGCGTGAAGTTTACCACTATTAGGCAATGCCGTTTACGCTACTTTAATAAAGTAGCCGGCTATGGATACAACTACTTTACAAAAAAAAATAGTTTAGCCACTAATAAACTGCTTTATCAAAAGAATAGTGCGCTATATATATTATGTGTAATTTAGCGTCTATTTTAGTAGCTACTTAAAAAAAATTCTACATTTTTAGTAAGTGAATAATAGCCGCCTCTGATATATATTTTTATCATTCCTTGTTAGACTAAATAATATCTCACTGGATCTGGATAGGATAAGGTCATCATTTGTTTTATGAAGAGTGATTTTAAAAGAAGGATCCTTTTAATTTTTATGAGATCTCATATAAATGATCTCGAAATATATATTATATAATCAATAATATATATCATCCTCATCGGAAATATTAGGAAAAAATTTGAGAAGTCGAGATATTCTCGTTTTGTAGAGTAACTTTTTTTTAGTGCTGAGTTCAAAGATAATGAAATATTTAGTTTCTCAATAGTTTGCGCTTTGATTTAATTAAAATACTGAATAAGTAAAAATAAAATTTATATATTTAAGAAGCTTGTTCTTCAATATTTAACAAAAGTTCTCTAACTTTGTTGAGCTTTTCCTAAATTATACAAATTGGATCTATGTTTATAATTAAGGATAAAATTAAATGTCAAATGGATGAAGTGGATTTGATTAAATTTAACTTTTTCAAATATATTTATTTTATTTATTCAAATTATAAATAAAAGTGGTTATAATCATCATTTCAAAATATCTATTAAATATTTATAAATAGTAGCTATTTTTTAGTTATAGCTACTCTATATAAAATAGATTGCTATTAAATAGCTACTTTTTTTATATAGCATTGCTACTGACCGATACATAAAAAAATATACGGTACTTTTAAATACTTATAACATTGTCATCAGGGTAGCGATTGATTATTTTTTCGAAAAAAATACAGAATTTTAAGATGGTGGAATTTGTCTTTGCTTTTGAGTGTATAACATTCACCTATTTATTTATAAAAGGAATTCTTAGATTTTATGTTTTACTTAGTTGTTTTCAATTGAAAATTAATTATAAATTAGACATATATTAACTCATATTTTTTTAATAAATTTCCATGGAAACTCCTTATAGCGCTACTCTTGCTAAAGTAGATAAATAGCTTTGATTATTTTCCCATACTTTTTAAAGTTGATGAATACTTTTCTTTTTCAATAATCAATTTGATCCTATCAAAATTTTTTAGGCTATGGGATCTTTTAAATAAATTTTTAGCAACATTATTTATTATCATTGTTTTAAAAAATGAATGGATATTTTCTGGAAAAATAATTACAATGGGATATTTTTTAACGTTAAATTACATAACACATTCAGTTTTTACTATAAAAAATTAATTTTATATTTGTTCCCCAAATATTTATTTATTTGAGATAATTAAAAATTATATGAACAATTGGCATGATATTTCTCTTTTATATTCAAAAAAATATTTTTTTATTGTTCCTCGAATATATATATTTTTTAATAGTAAATATAGTATTCATCTTTTTAACATATTATAAATATAGTATTAATAGGTTATAAATAAGTATTATTAATATTTATTTACGAATTTTATAAGGAAAATGACAAGGGAAATTTTTTCCCATTATGGAGATGATAGTCGTACGACATTCGCCTATTAGCAAGGGAAAAACACTTTATTTTCTCACTCATGCACCTTAATGAATCAATTTACGAAGATATTAAAATCAGATATTTAGATAATAGACACCCTCCCCCCCCCCCACCTTTCTACCCACTCTCCTATAATAAATAAAATTATTTACAATTTTATATTAAACATATAAATAAAATTTAAATTATTAAAAAAAATTGGTAATCTTAAGTTAATTTAAGCAATGGCAATAATTCTATATATTTATAACAAACTAAATATCTTGTTCTTATCATCAAAATATTAATCAATTGGTGATCTTCAGGCCCATAGTTAATAAATCTCTATATTTTTACTTATAAACTAAATTATTGTAAATGAAAGGAGAGACTGTTTTATTCCTTTAAACATTTATAAGCAATTTGAATTTAAACTTTTATTCAATAAATAACATCAGTAGAAAATTTTAAAAAAATATCAACCTCAGTCTCAATATATTCTTTTTATGAATTTATTATTAATAAAAAAAACAGATTATTCAAATAATTCAAATAAGAATACAGAATTAATTTTTCATATTTCCGCTCAAACAAATAAAATTAAAAAAATGCGCTAATCGATTCGTATTTGTTTTAAATAAGCCATGTAATTAAATAAAATAACAGTGGGGTGGGGGAAGGGGAGGGGTAAAAAAAAAATAAGATTAAAAAGAGAGTATGTGTTATCAGGTGATATACTTTTGCTAATTTTTATTTTGTTTTTTTTTTAAATAAGGGCGTAAAAAATATATCAGAGGTAGTCTAATTTTATAAAGAGGGTATTACATCATTAGCTTATAAGGTGAGAAATTGACATGTCTGCCTCATGCTAATGATAATGAGCAGGCCATTAAGGATATTATGATCGTACACCAATATAATTCTTTCTTTTTCATAAAAAATCCATCATAATTCAAAAAAGAATTTAAGTTAACACATTAATGGTATTGATATGGATAAACAAGACGGCGAAAATGAAGCTTGTCTAAAAATATTGATGCCGCTTATTGACATATCGATAAACAACAAATAACAAATCAGGATGAAATTTATTCGCGATAAAAAATGACGACGATACTAATTTGCTACAACAAATTCGTCGATCGTTAAAAACAAATATAACAAATTTCTGACAGAGGAATGTTATAAATGTTAAAAAATAATATTTTAATAATTATAATAAATTTTAATAAATTTTAATAATAAAAATATGATAGAAAATTATTATAAATAAATTTTAATATTAACCCTTCAATACTCTTGTGGGGTTATATGAAACCCCAGGCATGCTAGAAATGATATTACATAAAAATGGTTAAATATTATGATCTGGATTCTTCGGTAACTTCCTCAAATATATCTCAGAATCTATATTCCAAATTTAATATATCTCAGTTGAGAAGTTTTTAAGATATAAGCATTTTGTGACTGATTGGTTTGTAATACCCCACCAAAATAAATTTGTAATTTTTTAAGAAATTTTTTTAAAAATTCTTAAAATTATAAATATATACTACTATATTATAAAATTTATTAAAACAAAATATAAATATCTTTTATTTTGATTGAGATATATGAAAAAGAAAACTTAAACATTTTTTTTGCTGGAGTTATTTTATTCTTATTTTCCCCATATGGTTCATTTTTCAAATTATTTTTATCATATATATGGTTTTTGTAGATTCTGATAGTAAATAAAAATTATTTAAGATGTAATATCATGTAATTGATAAAGAGGAATAAGATTTTATTTATGATAGTGATCATGATACATAATCTGAGTAGATATGCAAGTTGAAACAGACAATATACTTAAATATTATTTAGGTAAATATGGAATTATTTATCATATCTATTTCTCTGTTAAATTAGCTAAAAATAAGGTGACTCAATGGGAAAAGGATTGTAAATCAAAGAGTAAGAACACATCAACAAAATTTAATTTTTCATATGTCAGGAGTAAAAAATATGGGAAAGAAGCTGACACAAAATGTTTTGGTTTATTCATATCACCAAAAATGAAGAAATTATTTATCACAAATGAAAAAATTAAAATTATAAGTAAAAACTACACTGATCAATATGAAAGTTCTACTAAACAGGTTGATGTAATAGAATTCAAGGCATTATTGAGAATTCTTTATTTAACTGGAATTTTCAAATCAAATTATCAAAATATGTCAGATTTATGGAAATCTGATTGGTTTGGAATTGAGATATTTAGAGCAACAATGACACTCAAAAGATTCAGATTTCTAATTCATACAATAAGATTTGATGACATATTAACAAGAGAAGAGAGAAAAATGGTAGACAAAGCAACTCACATTAGAAGTATTTTTCAAGAATTTGTTGATAACTGCTACAGATCTTATACAATATCAGAATATGCAACCTTAGATGAAATTCTTCCAGCACTTCCTGGTAAATGCCCATTTAGGCAATACATGCCAAATAAACGATCAAAATATGGCATAAAATTATACTCCTTATAAAAAAACAAAATATTTTTGTCAAATATATAAAATAAATTTATGTTTAGAACACATTAATATTTTATGTAATAAATGTATTGCATGTCAAATTTAGCATATTTCAATGTTCTATATTTTTTAATATATTTGAATATATTAGTGTAATTTTTTTTTATATTGAAGAATAAAGATCCATATTATAAATTATCATTGGATTTATTTTTTAATTTTATATTTGAAATTTGAAAAAATAAGCTTTTTTTAAAAAATTTTGGCACAAATTATAATTATCCTCATCATCTTTAATCTAGGCTTAAGAAATAAAAATATTTAAATATTTTATCAAGCTTAAGGTTAGATCTATCTTATATCGAAATATCAAATGAAATCAATGATATATCATTGAATGAAATATAACTGGAGATATATACATTTGAAATTGGGGTCTATTAAACCCCACCCGAGTACTAACGTCGTTTTTTTCACCGGACTATTGAAGGGTTAATTATAATAAAATATTTTAATTATAATATTCGAATTACTTTTTAAATATATCGCGATATCTACTTTAACTTATTTCATTATATATATAATAACATTCAAATTTATATTCTAAAATAATAGGGGAAATTTTATATGAGAGACCCTTTACATTTATACGTTATTTGAGCTGTAGACAAAATAAAATAAGTGGACCATATCAGGAATTTAATTAGTCTATAGGTAGTGAAGGGGGGATTTGGCTAATTTTAAGTTTAAAATTAGACAAAAGAAAATGACATTAAGATATTTCCTAGTATAATGAAAGTAATGGAAAGAAACCACACACATATGATTTTTTCTATTTAATTAATTAGAGTATAAAGAAAGTGAGGTAGAACTTAATTACAGAAAATTTACATTTACAGGTATAATTTGTAATATTCATTTTTAGTGGAATTTTATCAAATCTTTTTTAATGTGGTTTGCACCTTTCAGGTAGGATTCATTCAATTTTATTTATAGAATATGATAAAATTGTTTATCTTATGGCTCTGTTTTGGCCTAAATCAATTGATATATTCATATGGTATTAATTTTGAATTGAAATTTAATTATATATTTTAATTAGAGTGTCCAAATTATTGGTTATTTTTTCAAGAAAGTTGTTATCTATTTGCTCCAGCACCTATGACTAACTGGACATCAGCAGATGAAATTTGTAGAAACATGGGTTCAACTTTATTAAGTGTTGGAAATAAAAACGAACATTTATTTATAACAAATTATCTATATTATCATGATCCTGCTTTAAAAACTTGGTTCACTAGTGGTGTCAAAAATAAACAACAAAATAGGTAAATTACAATAAAATACAATAGCTATACTATATTATTTATTATAATTTTTAACAATATAATTGATAAATATTAAGACATTATTGATATTTAAAAAATTAAAATAAAAGGTGGTATTGGCGTGGTGAAGAGATACCACTGACATATGATTCTGGTTGGAACTCGGAAATGATGGAAGTTTATAGAAAAGAAGAAATTGATAGTCAAAAATTACACAATATGTTTTCTAACAACAATCTACCACAAGGGAATGAGCTAAAGTTAAGAGAGGCTTATCATACTATAAACAAAAGATATATCTCAGACTTGCATAACTTTTCAGGACCTTTCAACAATGATAAAGTTAGAATATCAAATTATATTAGTTCAAATATTTATTAAAATATATTACAACAATACTATTTATCATTTATATATGTGCGGACTTAATAGCAATATTGGATGCTGCTATTTTTTTTATTATTTTGAAAAGTATTTTGTATTTAAGATAAAGATGTTTGAAAAGTATTTGTATCCTAATTAATTTAAATTTCAAAAATGATACAGATACTTTTTTATATGTTTGTTAATTTAATATATAATTAGAATATAATTATATAAATTAAACATTAATTTCATTAAATAAATTAATAATTTAATACCCAAATTTTTGTTCTGATAATTGATAAAATATTACTTATAATTGTTTTAAAAAATTGTTTATACTCTTTTTTTTCAATTATTGTTTATAATGACTTCACTTTAGGGGAAGGGGATGGAATGAGATCAGATCAGGAGAATCATTATTATTATTTTTAAAATTATATTTATAAGATTCTATATATTTACCTAGAAGGGGGAAATCTCCAACACAACCCATTACATTTATAAATATTTAACTAGGTACTAACTACACTAAGTATTTCCCTATATTGAAGAATATGAAACTGATTGTTTTAAAAATAATCCATTTACAGAGAACAATGATATGATCTATGTTATTTTGGGCAAATAAAACATCTAATTGTTTTTTAATTGAGAATGTGCCTGGACAATAGTTACAATCTCCTAAATAACAAATAGGGAGTGCTGGATTGCATATTGTTTGAGCTAAAATATTTTTATAGTTATGTAATGGATATTCTGGCATAGCTAATAGTTTTACCAAATTAGCATCCTCAAACATAAGCTTAAAATTTTGATGAATTACACAAACACACACACTGTGTGTTCCACTGGCTCCAGCCAGAATATAATTTTTTGGCCGTAAATCTGCAAATTTAGAAAATCCAACTTTAATTATCGGGTACCTCTCTTTAAATCGTTCATATAATTCTTTTAAATTGTTTAAAATTAATCTTTTTTGAGACTGCTCTCTTTTCCCCTTGATCATTATGGATTTATAGTCTTTTTTCTCGGCCATCACGCGACTGACTTCATCAGAAGAGTAAAAATTTTCTATAATATTCACGGTTTCCTGATCAATTGTTCGCCCAGGTTTTATATTGGGAGATGACATAAATCCTTTTAATTCTATTAGTTTTTTTGATTTTCTTACCAAGTAATTCGTGGCAATCCAGAATCTAAAATTAAAAATGTTTTAATCCATAATATAAATAAACTTACCTTTTGTAGATTTTTTGAAATAGACTTATGGCCTTCTCTAATGAATGGATTACTACACAGTGATTTCATTATTACAATTTTTTAAATTTAAAAAAAAATTTAAGTAAAAAAAGAAATATTTTTTTAATCCTTATGTTCTTTTCAATCATGATTGATAATTAAATTTTTTATTTATCGATATAAAAATTTAATTTCTAATAATAACGATAATAGATCCAGAAGTGTGTAAATATATACAAATTACGGCCTCAAGAATTTCTATTTAAGCGCAAAATGGATTGCGATAAATAGATATATTTTTATAATAGCTTGAATATAATTTTAAATATATTTATATGGGCCGCTTCCTCATTTATTGCCCCAGGACATCATACTGGTTATACTTAATCGATTTCTTTTGATTTTAATACCGATATAAAATATATTATTATTAAATATAATATATTATTAATAAATTTAGTATAACGCCATCTATATTATCCTTTTTTATTTACAAAAATAATAAAAATTTTAATAAAATTAAAAAAACAAAAATGGCTATCGAGATTTTTCATTAAATAGTTTAATATAAAGGTATAAACATTTTTAGAGAGTATCAACACCAAAAAAAAATCCCTTCCCAGGAATGTTAATTTTTTATTTTTACCGGAAATACAAAAACACTTAAAAATTTTTAACTTTTTTTCAATATTTTCCAATGTAAAATTTTAAGGGCTATAAAGTGATATATTATTTGTAATTTTATCTTAAGTATTTTTTAAGAAAAACAAGATATAAGAAATCACGCATTACGCGATTCTCTATTTTGAAGGCGTATATCTTTGGATCTGGTTGAGCTGGGGCTCTAAAATTTGGATTTTATTAACATTTACAACATAAATAACTAACATGCCAAGTTTCATTCATTTTTGAGATGGTCGGCCGAATCACTGGTCGATTTGTCATGGAATTACCCTGGTGTAAATGATGTAGAATTAGAGACATACACGTAGTCAGGAATTTTCAATGTGGGGAAGAGGACCAACATTTTATTTGTGGTCATAAATATTTTTTGAAATAAAACTAAGTCTTTTCATACTTAAAACAAACTAAAATAGGGTATCCTAGTTTAAAATCTTTGTAACCTAGACTAAAAAGCAATTAAGTATCAAAATTAAATTGAACCAGAACACAGCTTATTGCTTATAGAAAAAAATAGCCAACTTTGGCTTTAAATTTATTTATGTTAAAATTTAAAATAAAAAAATTGTTGTGTTTAATTATAATAAATTTGAATGTTCATTTGTTTGCATTAACAAATTATCAATAAAAATATAAAAAAATATGTCAATTTTTTCTGAATGTATTTTAATTGTTCATAATTTTTGTTTTAGATCTAAATAGGAAGAAAATTTAATGGTAAATAACATAATTATAGAATAAAATGCTATTCTGTTTATTAATAAGAAATAAGTACAGTATAATAAACATTTTTATAATAAAATAAATTTCTAAGCTCAAATATACAAAATTGTGTTTATTTTAATATAAAAGTGAATAAATTAATAACCACCTCATTTGATTAACTTCAAATTTAAACAACTCTTTAAATAGCTTGCCTTCCATAGCTAGGGAGGTGATTAGATAGACATTAAATTATTTAAAAGATTACAGATGTAATATATTCTAATATAATCATGCTGAATAATCATTAAAATATAGAAGACTTTTTTAAAACAAAAAGTATAATACCATTTTACCATCTTCATCACCTGTTGAGCGGTTATTTAGTTTAGCTTCGAAATCTTCGGTTCTAAAATAAGGCAATATATCCGCCTATCAGCTGGAGAGCGAATGAGCGATCACTGCATAATTCCTTCAGTCAAATTGGCGGGAGGGTCTCTTATGGTATGGGGGTGCTTTGGTGCCGGGGCAACCGCCTACATTGTCAAAATTAAAGGAATCCTTAACAAAGATGGATACCGGCAAGAGGACCATGTGATTTCATCAGGAAAGTGTTTGATCGGGAATAACTTTTTATTTCAACAAGATAATGACCCAAAGCATACATCCAGGCTATGCAAAGATTATTTACAAAATCTACAACAACACTGTATTCTCGAGTTGATGACTTGGCAATTCCAGTCTTCCGATCTCAATCCAATCGAACATTTATAAGATCACCTTGATCGACAAGGGCGAAAAAGCCCTCTAACTTTTCATTCGCACCTTTGGGAAGTATTATAGAGAGAATGGAACAATATCACTTCCGAATATTTAAAAAATCTCATCGAAAGATTACCAAAAAATTTTGCAGCAATTATTAAGAATAAAGGTGGTCATATTGATGAGACAAAAATTTGATCTTAATTAATTGCTATGTCTTTTATTTTTTGTAATTTTATACAATAATATGTAAACTTATAAATAAATTTGATCCTCATATTGTGTGTTATTTGTCTTATTTTAAGAAAAATGTTAAAAAAATGCAGGGTGGGCAATCATTTATGGCAGGTAGTGTATATTGATACAAATTAGAGCCATCATTTTTAGAAAGTATTAACCCTCACACATATCTTTTTTTTTAAAATATTAACTTTCCCCTTAAATTATCAAAATTATTTGATTGGCTGATTTGGCCCTTTATTTATTTTGTTTAAATACCTTTTTACATATTATGTATCAGATGAATTCAATTTTTTTTGAATGAAAAAATTTATTCAGAGTTTTATGGGTTACAAACACCGCCAAAATGAATACTTAATGATTTATTATTTATTCCTATTAAAAAATTTTTATAAGTCAAGCCAGACTGGACTAAATAATATAAGATCCGGCCAGTAAACCCATATAAAAATTTTAATGAGCGGGTTCGGACCGGTTCCTAGTGATGTATACCATATGCATATCCAGGATTTTCCTATGGGGGCATTATTAGATGGGGTTTTTGCCATAAATTTATTAAAGATATTTGGGTCCACTTGTTGTAGGCCTTTGCCTATAATAAATTTTTATAAAAAATAATTTTAAGATTTTATTTATTTTTAAAAAAATTTGAAGTATAATCGTTATCAGCTTAAAATGATATTTACGAGAATAAGCAAATTTGCGATGGAGGGATCCTTCCCCTGATTACTCGCCTAATCTATACTATATACACTCCCGGAAAATAATTTCGGTTCGGGCCTAATATTTAAAAAAAAAATTTGGTCCATGTCGGGCTTAAATTTTTAAATATATGATATCATTACATTTAATACAATAAATTTATATATTTTAAAATTCTTGCAAGAAACAAAGCGCTAATATTTTTTTTACAATAAAAAAAGTTAAATTCTTCTATATTTAAATAAATTCGGACCGGGCAATAATTTTTATTTCGGGTCGGGCTTTTCTTGACAAGTGAAAAACTTTTTTGTATGGGATCGGGCCGGGCAGGAAAAATTCTGCCCGATGCAGATCACTACTATACACTACTTTTTTTACAAAAAAAAATACAAGGTTTGGAATGAACCAAGCCTCGATAGAAATAATTACATGTCAGCTTGGGATCAAGAGTCATCCCAATATCTGGTCTATCAATACAGTTATCGGGACGGGGCTTGGAAGTGGAATTCAACGTCATTACGGCTCCAAGATAATAATAATAGGTTGGGAGCTTTTATATGCGAAAAATCTCTCAACAATAAATTCCACCGGGGCGATGATAAATTTACATCGTCTTCTTATGAGCATACGCCATCTTTACCTTCACATGAACAACCTTTTTCCGATTTGTACAGCTCTTCCGAAAGTAATATATATATATATTATTGGAAGAATCTTTATTATTATTTTTTACTAATATTACTATGTTTTTCTCTGGCAAATTTTTATTTTTGTTTCTTCAATTTTGAAATTTATTTTATTTTACCGGAAATTTACATTCCTGCATTTGTATAACCCTATTTTAAAATGATTCACTGTAATCTATTTTTCAAAATGTATAATCGGGTTGGATTTGCAAACCTCCAAATGAGTTAGGCCGTTTTGTTCGATCCGACTAATTAACATCATTAATTATGCGATGGTAGAAAAAATCATATAGGACCTTTTTTTTGCCATAAATTTGAAATTCGATAATTTGCTGTTTTACAATTTTAAGATAATATACTTGGCTAAACAAACAGATTATAAATTTAATGTAAACAAATGAATGTCCTTATTAGATTTCGGCCTCATTTCCTCCTTATCCAGTCCTCGCGCATCTTTACAAGAAGGTTTCGATTCCAGCATTGCTCCCAGTGGTGTTAGCTTCATCCTTCAACCCAAGGATACAACTTGGGACACCAAATCCATCGAAAAACGAATTCAATTATCATGCAAAGCGATAGGATACCCGTATCCCTCTTACACCTGGTTCAAAAATCAAGTTCCAATTATATCAACGGCTGTCTTCAATCATAGCTTCGGGTATGGAGCTATCGATTTGGCGATCAAGAACGTTAATAATTTTGACGAAGTGGGCTATGATAGGTACCAAAAGAAATATATGATCGCAATATATTACTATAATTGGATGTAAAAAAAACTATTAAAACCCGAAAAAACAAAATATATTTGACATTTTTAACAACGGATGATTTATATCCTAAATTTTTTATTTTTTTGTCTAATGTATAATTTATTGGTGGAGTGACGAATTTAATTGCCTAAGGTTAAAAATTTGAATGTTAAATGGTCATTAATTTGTAACTATCGGGCTTATAAAATTATAAATTTATTTATTTGATTTTAATGAGCAGGCGCGTTAATTTATAAGGATTTAAGAAATACACGTATAATCTTAAATTATAAATTTTTCTGATGCCCATGGGATAGCTGCTAGACTGGATCCTAGATATCCTCCGAAGGCTATGGAGATGAATATGGTTTAGTATACGAGCAGCTGGTAGCCCTCGATTTATCTATGGTTTCTTAGATGTGGCTCTTATGATAATTTCCCTGATTTTATAAACAGTTCAAACCATGTTTACCAATCGAATCTATAAAATTGCATTTAACACAAACATGCCATTGCACATTGTCGCCCCTATACCAACATAAATAGTAACTCTCAATTCATCTAATAAGAGACCGATGTTACGACTAGAGTTTGCTTCTAGCCATTATATTCTTCAATTCTATCTAGTCGAAGGAGTTGGATACAATTTAAGGGTGGATTCGTTTTAGTTTAAATAATGGACGTAAATCTAGTAAAGAGGTATATCATACCAGTAGTGCTAGTTTACCCCTGTAACCCTCCGTCCAGGAGTGGTATTCCTTGGTATATATCGACTCCCTATAATCCTCGCAGGAACAAACTCATAGGAAGGAGTCTTTAAATTATGAAAAATCGTTTCGTATACCATGAACAAATTAAAAAATGCCAAGGTTTATAACCAAGCACTATTTACTTATAGAAGTTCGTAACACTTCTCAACAGATCTGAATACCCGTAAAGTTAATTTGTGGACAAGGACCAAGAATACAGATAGATTGGATAAGACATTCCTTACAGAAATACTTGAAATATCTTATAAAACCTTAACACTGAAACAAACAAAAATCTCAATGACTAACAATCAACTTGTATGGGTAAAAAACGCTACATCGAAATGATGCTTGAAATTAAAAAAGCTATTATAAAAAATGATGAAAAGGCCAGGATAAACCTTGAAACTAAACAAGAACCTAATTGAACCAATAACATTTGCCACTACACCCTCATGATGATACCCGTTATAGGAAATCAAGACTTAATGACTGATTGACGAGTTTCAGTCTGAGGAAGAAATAAATATTGTAGATATATATTTAAATGTATATTGTATATATATATATATTTGAATAACCAAATCCGTTAACTTATTATATACCTAGTTGAATATTTTTTTTAAAACCATAAAAGTACTTTGATTTTATATAATATAATACTCATTCTTACCTTTTCTTTAAATAAAATTTTTAAAAGTCATGTTGCACCTCGTTGAATACAATAATAGTTTTTCTTATACATATATATAGGTGAACACGGACAAAGTCAGTTAGATTTTATTATGAGAAAAATTAAATAATTATAAAATTTAAAGGTTATCGATTACCAACGGTATACTAGATATATTTGATCCAGAATCCGATATAGATCAAGGCGAGTACTATTGTTCCGCTTCCAATATATTCGGGACGGCTCTCAGCTCTAAGGCCAGACTCTCCTTTGGATGTAAAAAAACACTTTTTATATATTGTAAAAATATTCTTCATAATGAAATCACTATCTCCCAATATCCTAAGGAGCCCATTTAAAAATAAATTATCTTTAAAGAAATCTTTTGTTCAGAATAAACATCCTTATCTTATGCGTGCTTAGGGCGCTTTTTTGCCCCCCCCCTCACCCAACCATGGTGAGACAACTGCTTTATGTAAAAATTAAAATACGATTGGTTATATATTTTTTGTTATGTATTTGGCATTGAAGTTATAAAAGATTTCAAGCCCGACGCGTTACCTATAAAGGCCTACATAAGAACTAACACTATGATACCGTGCCAAGCCCCAGATGCCTACCCAGGTTAAACGAATATATATAAAAAAAATTAAACTTAATAAAAAATTAGTAATAATAAAATAGTGAAATTTTTTTATAAATTCATTTATATCTGACATAAGTGCAAATTAAATTAAATGGAACAATACCAAGATTGGAATTTTTTTTATATCATCTAGAATTCCATCCTCTCATTGGATCTTTATTTTATACTTACTTGAATTAGAGGCCCTTAAAACTCCGATCCTTAACCCCCTCCCCTCCTTTAATTAATAGTTTTTTTTGTTTTGGAACCTGTTTTGTAGACTTCTAAGAATTACTTATAATGTAATTATATAAATTATAATATTACTTTTTTACATAATTGTTAGATGTGCGTTTTTATTGGTTCAAGGATTACCTACCAAATTTTGTTCCTTCCGACGCTCGCATTTTCCATTCATGGAAAGGAAATCTATACTTTTCAACTGTATATAATTTTTTTGAATGAAAAAAAATATTTGGTTATGGCCAATTTATTATTAGCAAATTAAGAAAAGAAAAAAGAGTAATTACTTCTTTTTGTTAGAATTTTTAATTTCCGGTTCCTCTGAAAAATGTTATAAGGATATTAACACTGTTATCTCATTTATTTCTATAAATCGTATTTAGATTTAGAATTAGAGTAAAACAAATACTCAGATTAGAGGTCGGCGAAAGCAGGACTAATCAAAAGTTTTAAAAATGTTTTTTAAAGTTAATAATTAAACAAATTTATGTCGTTTTTTTCATAAAAAAATAAAAAATATTACTAGACAGGACTGACAGCTTGTAAAAAATATTTTACTGGCCAGGCTGAGGAATCTGATAGAAAATTTCTACGGCCTGCGTCGATCTCTAACTCAGATGATAATAATTTTCTATTATTATTATGTCAGATTCGCCATTATATTTTCATCAGACTATACCTTATATGATGGTATATTTATTCATAAATTAATTAAATTTCTAAGTTTGTTAAGTTAAAAATTACCCCCCTCCGCCACCTCAAATTGTTTAATAAATTTTTAATTATGTATAATCCCAACTATTTAAAAACAAATCAAGTTGGATTTATCAGATGATGGCAATTATATATGTATGATTAAATCCAGTGTGGCTCAGACTGGTGCCAACACACTTGGGAAAACTAGCAAAGAAATAAAGCTTAGCGTATCCAATACTTGTATGTCTACATTTTATAATCATTTTCTTCTTTTTTAATAAATAACAAACTTGCTTTTAACAAGGATTATTATTTTGACCGAATTGGTATATTTAACTTTAAATATAATTGTCTATAGCTCGATTAATTTTCAACATTAAATGCGAAAATAACGAAATTTAAGTTATATTTAATATATGTTATATTTTTGTTAAAGTTGTAAATAGTCGCAGAAAGCCTATAATCGAAGTTGGATTCCCTTCCATATTTCCCAGCAATCCTCTTATGGGCCAAGAGGTCCGCATTGAATGCGTCGCATATGGAGAGTATATTATGCTATTTGAAACTTTTATAATTAAATAATTTATCTAGATTATATATATGATTTTATAATTTTAAATCTAAAAAAAATTCAAAACTTATTTACTATTCATAAAGCCCCATACCTCAATACAATTGGACTAAGGCCGATAGCCAGCTACCCGCTAAAGCAAGAATGGAAGATTTTAATAGGGTTCTTATAATTCCTGATGCTAGACCGACGGATGATGGGAATTACCGATGTAAAGCTTCTAATGTGATAGGGGAAACGGAGCAGGGCCTCTCTTTGAGCGTTTCAGGTATATTAGTATCTATACATATGAAATATTTTTTTTATAGTACATTTTCCTCCCTTATATCTTTATACTATTTATTCGATGAGTAAATTTTTAAAAAAAATAATGTTCTAGAAATTTTTCTTTTTTATTGCGGGAAACTTAATTGTCAATTTGGTTTATGAACCTTAAATTCTAATACTTTACTGAGTTGCGCTAACTTTGTTCATTTGGTTTATGAACCTTATATTCTAATATTTTACTGAGTTGCGTTAACTTTGTTCATCCAGTTATCGGCCTTATAAAAAAGACTATTGTTGTTAAACGATCGATTTTTAAAAACGGTCAACTCAAGTTTTAGCTAAAAATTTATTACACAAACCTGGAGATCTTGCTCATAGATGGCAGAAAGGTAAACTTATTAGCAAAATCTCGAGGTTTACATAATATTATTTTGACTTAAATCTTAGCCGTTTGTGAAAATCGACCCCAATCGGGCTATTTAACAATACTACAAATAAAACATTGCATATTATTATATGTGATATTTATTTATAAAAAAAAGCTGCCCCGGTTTTCACCTTACCCCTAAAGGATAAATTTGTCACGCCCGGCTCTAAAATCGAGCTGATCTGTGAAGCCTATGGTAAACCCGAAGTTAAATACAGATGGTTCAAAGATGGCAAATTGTTCGATAAAAAAAGTTTACAGCGAAATGGACAACTATTAGATGATTCTTATAATATGTTTGGGAAAGAAGAAAGTACAAACAAGCCTAGGATACAGTTGTTGTTGGACCCTAATGAGAAAGACAAAATTTTTAGGTTGGTTTAATTGGCTATTCCTTTTTCTATTTACTCTTTAAAATTCTTAACATTAAATCTTTGATATTTTTTATAAACATTAGAAAAAAAGTAGAGCTGAGAAAATCAAGAACAGAAGTATAGTTTTTTTGAAAAAAATTTTAAATCATTATTTATTTTTGAATAGTTACAAAAAAAAATTTTTTGTTTGTTTTTCTTTTTAAAATTAAAAAATGAGCCCCCATTCTTCCATCTTACCATCCAATAGTAGTAATACCATTTATATTCAATTCATAAATGTCAAAAAAATAAATCATTTTATACAAAAAATATTCTTTAAGACAAGGCTTGTTCTACGAACCGCAAATAAAAATAGTGGTCATCAGAGATGTAACGGATAAAGATAACGGGATTTACCAATGCGAAGCCTCTAACGGCCACGGCACCCGCTATTCTTCGGCTCAAGTCAAAGTTATCGGTTAGTTAAAAAAAATGAGAAAGGGGAGAAAAGAATAAAATAATTTCCCTCAAAAAGATGTAATTTCTGCTGCATATAAATTTTTTTTATGTATTTTATTCTTTATAATAATATTTTTTAAAAAAGCATTCAAACCAGTTTTCACTGTCTCTAAATCTCACGCTCCCACCCATACATATAATAATCTCGATATCTCACCACCTCTAACTTTCGATTCCGCTCACATCCATAATACTGACTCCCTCAACAAAAACACCATAAGCGATTTAATGGGCCTCTATTATCTTCTCAGCCCCACCAAAGTCTTAACGGAGGGGGGTAATCTGACACTGATTTGCAGCCCCAAGGCATCCCCCAGTCCTAAATTCAAGTGGTTTTTCGCCCCTCTCATCCTGTCATCCAATGCACGATATTCTCATTACAATCATGATTGGGATAGAAACAGAAACAGGCATTCAGATCATGATTACGATAAGAATTACTACCGATATTTTTCAGCCTCTCAGCATCAAAATCCTGCTTCGAGTACCATTCCGTTATATATAGATGCAAAAAGAGTCAAAGTTGGTGATAAAAACATGATGATGACCGGAAATAGAAAAGGCAACAATCTCGATAACAAAATCAACGACAATTTAGGGGGCGATTTAAACATAGAAAGTTTAAGATTCAGTGATACCGGTATATACACTTGCGTGGCCGAAAATTACTTAGGAAGTGTCACTGTTACAACTCAAGTTATTGTCGCAAGTAAAGAAAAAATAATAAATCTCCCCTCTATTTTTATATATAAAAAAAATTAATTTTGACTACAACTAATAAAATTTTCTAAAGTTTCTTAAGTTTATTATTATATAAGATTTATTAGATAATAAAGATCTGCTTAAATAAATATTTTAAATTTTCTAAATTACTTCTTAACTCTTACCGAATTTTATTTATTTATTTCTATAAAAATCAAAATGCAAAAAAAATAATACAAAATAGGAAGTACCACTATAATCAAACACCCATCCTCTGTATCTTCAACTATACCTGGCGTTAACCTAACACTAGAATGTGCGGCGTTGGCTGAGCCGGGAATAGAGCTAGCGTTTGAATGGACCCATAATGGGGTGCTCATAGACACGAATAGCAAATATTATGGGCTACTTTTTGAATTAGTAAATGATATTAATTTTTCTTCATCTCCTTTAATGACGGTTTACCCGGGTAAGCCAGTTAGTAATTCCCCTATATTTTTACAGTCCTGGACGTTGCCATTTGTAAAAATACATACTTTCAACTACGTCTTCATGGGTCTTCCTCGCATGTTTTCTATCTCTCAGAGATGCCCCACACATCGATCTAACATTCTAATCTCCTTTATTTCCAATTTAGCTGCTTGTACCACAATTGCCCATGTTACATCATCATAGACCATATAACTTCTCACACACTAAATAAACTATTTTTTTAACTGCAGATTGACGTTTTTATTTGTTAGAACAAGCAGAGTTGGGCAGGTCCTCCGGAAAAAGAATCTAGATACAGATACAGATTCCTTATAAAAAAATGAATCTTAGATACAATTACTATTATCTTTTACAAAATATCAAAAAGATACAAGATAAATGATACTTGTATCCTTTGCTAAATTAGAGGATCTTAAATACAAGATACTTTTAAATTATCATTACCAATTAAATTAGAATAGGTTATAAAATACATTTATTATTTATTTGTGAAGAAAGAATTTACAATAATTAATTAATGATGAGTTAATTATAATAATCTAAAATTTTAATATTAGTATTAGCATATTCTTAGCATAGATAGTGAAGGAAGACTAGTATTTTTAATGGGAGTCTAAATATTAATTTGCAAAAGTGTATTTGAAATAGATTCATTATTTTGTAAGATTATCAATTTTTTCAAATAATCTATCATTAGACCATTGCCGTTTCGGCGTACTTAAAACTGTGCCAAAACTTAATAACCTTTCAATTAGAGCTGATGAAGGTATGGCAGTATTATATTTTAAAAAAAATTCCTTAATGGAAGGATAATAATTAAGCATTTATAATGTATTTCGACTTTCTTTAATATAATTTAAAACCTCCAGTTTAATCTTATTTGTATGATTTTATATTCAGCCTGTACATTGTCTTTTTTAACTTTTATTTTTAAAAAATTTCCATCTATAATTTGAAGATTGGAATTTGATTCAGGGGAACTTATTTCCATAATTTAAATTTCACTCTTCTTCTTCACTGCCATGATGTTAATCATCCTATAAATTAAAAAATATTGCATAAAATTGATAATGATATTCTAACTAATTACATTTATATATAAAATATAATCTTTACTTATTTCGGTTTGGTGTTGTTATTTTTCATCTACCTATCTTAATATGAGTTGTAAATTTTCCAGCTAATTTTGTTGTCAATATATTTAAAATATGGCCCAAAAAAATAAGGAAATTAGTACAAGATTCCTGAAGAAAATAAGTGATATGTTAAATTTTAAACATGAATATTAAAAAGAATCTGTATCAGTATCTTTTATCAAGAAAATGAATAAGATACAATATTTTTTTTAAAATAAAGGATCTTAGTTATTGATATTGATACTAGTATCTTATTAGAAATGTCAGAAAGATACTGAGTACAAGATATAAAAGTTTCTTGTATCTTAGACACAAGTATTCGCGGTACTGCCCAACTCAGAGAACGAGCTACATCTCTTGGAAATTTTTCTACACATATCTTACCCTTACAACAACAGCAGTATTAACACCTCCATCTCAATTTAGCATTATCCGATTATTCAGTATTTTTTCTCTATAATTTGTCCACCCATTTCTCTGCAACAAACACGCTAACCAGCTTTATTGTCATTATTATCACTGCCAAACCGGTTTCTCTACATAGTGTCAGTTGTTTCTGACCATCATTTGTGGTTCTATTTGGTTCCACATATGTCAGAGGTGATGGAGACCCAGAGAGTACTTTTAGCTATACCTCCCCCCCCCCCCCCTCATTTGGTTTAACTTTAGGGGTTTTGGAATGGTTTTTTACACGTCGGATGCCCCTCCTGACATCAACCTCTTTAGATAACTTATACACCCCGTAGCGGTGATCATTTTAGACATAATTGGGCTTCTATCAAGATATCAAACAAGAAACTTAGATACTTTAACTGCCTGGAAAATGGTTGAAGATTCTAAATTCAATAAATTTCCTCTCAATACATATGAAAGCGACAAATATAGCATTATCTATTTATAAAAATTAGCCGATTTGATGATTCCAGATGACATATGTATGGAAACTGAAATACATCAGTAGAATTAGTCATAAAAAGAGGTGTTTTGAGAAACGTTCAGATGAGCGTCCATATGACTTCCATCAAATTTACAGAGTTGAAGTATTTCGGGATATCATCTATCAGATAGTAACTAGTTTTACAGAAGGATTTTCGGAAAATCAACATTTTAACTGATGTTCAAAATTTCCATCCTAGATGAAATGAATAGGGAAAGTATAATTAAAGAAGCTTTGAAAATAATCTATTCCTTAGCTAAGGTATATAGTAAGATGTGTGATAAACTATTTAATTTTCTAGAATTATAACAATCTATTTATTGACTTGAAGAAGAGTACAGGCGATTTGATTCATCATAGTGATTACACATCAGAACTTGAAAGAGATTCTATGAAAGAAAGTTGCAATAGTGGATAACCTTTAACCAAGCAATACAAAATGCAAGCAATGTTTGATATGTTCTATATGAGATGTTACACAGATATAATATGTATATATCCGCATATACCGACTTAAATAGTATACGAATAACTTATCACATTATCTTTTCACAAGTGAGATTTGAACGAACTTTCAGCAAATTAATACGAGACTACAAGCAAATATTTTATAGGATTATCTAAAAACCTTTTAATGATGTCAGTAGAAAGAAAATTATTGGATGAAATCTAATTATGTGGGATTCTTGAATATATACGCAAATGTTTACCATTAATGCGAATTGTTAAGCTATCTTTGGAGGAAATTTAACTTTAAACACAACTTAGCAAATTCCTTTCTTTCTAAGTTTCATAAGCGATTTAGAAGCAAACGTTTAAAAGTTTCTTATAGTATTAATTTTATATCATTTAGATATATTGAGATCTATGTCTGATATGTGAATAGGACATACATATAGTGATTAACTGTGGTGTTTATAATGTAGTGTTTATAATGTAGTGTTTATAATGTAGTGTTTATAATGTAGTGTTTATAATGTAGTGTTTATAATGTAGTGTTTATAATGTAGTGTTTATAATGTAGTGTTTATAATGTAGTGTTTATTAATATAATATAATATATCTAAAAATGAGAAAATGCATCTATTTATAATTTTTACAAAATCGTTTATATATTTAATCTATTACAATAAAGTGTAGCTTTAAACCAAAATAACAAAATACAATTTATTTAATATTAATACATTACAGTTTCCCCACTACAAATTGAACTCATCATGATAACTTGGGTGTTTCGAAACTCTTTTTTTAAGAGTTGCATTTCCATTATGTTCTACATTGTCCAAATCCTCAGTCATTGCTATGGGGATTTCCTTAGCTTGTACATGAGCATCCCTCAGCTGGTCGGCATGCTTGTTTTTAACAATACTCAGATTCAACATCATACATAAACGCACTTTTCCGTTGAACCACTGCCCCTTCATGCCATCCCGCAGTATTTGTGTTCTACCCAAATCTTTTGCTTCTCTTCAAATTCATGGCACTCAACATTCCTATCTTTATAATATTTTTGTTTCCATAATGCGTTTTCAGTCCTTTCCCTCGTAGATAATTTCCATTGATCTAACGTCGTACCTGAGCGGCTCCAAACATCATTTCAACAGGGGATTTACCGGTAGTTGCATTTGGAATATTTCGGTGAGTAATTTAAACATTCGCTAAATTTAACTAGTCCGGAGTTCCACATCTCCTTCCAGCATAGAAACGCGTCTTAATTCAGATCCAGTAAACTGAGTACCGTTATCCGAGACAAAGTAGTGAGGTCAATGACATATATAATACCTAGACTGACGATTCATTCATTAAAAGTGTACATAAATGCAAATCATGTGGAGACGCCATCTTGGTTACACTAATCATTATTAAAATTATAAACGAGAGCCTAATTTATTCCTATATCTGATGCAAACTTTATTAAAGAATTACCGGATCATCGAAATAATAAGACAACAAGTTATCAATTTAATAGTAGTTTTTAACATGAGAATAATTACTATATGTGTTACCAAAATGGCCGGTCCAGCTGATTTGCTTTTAACGACGTTTAAAAATGCATTTTAATGAATGAATCGTCAGTCTAGGTATTATCTATGTCATTGAGTGAGGTAACTCAAAGCTAGCGAAATTACGCATATTATTTGTTGTGTTGCACTCGCCGAATTAATATGTGTTAAAATTGCAACTCAACCTATTTGGTGAAAGCGTCTACGCAAATTAACCAATACTTTCCAGATACGAGGCCTGTCAAATCAATGTGTATTCGTTCCCAAGGTCGAGTAGGGATGTTCCAATAGTATAACGGCACTTCTCTGTCTCCCGGTCTTCCTTCCTGCAACTCCTGCAGCTTTTAACGCTCTTCAATATCACGATCAAGATTCGTCCAAAAAACATACTATCTACATAATGATTTTATCCCCACTATCCCAAGATGTCCTTGATGAATAACATTCAAAACCTTTCTTTAGATTATCGGGACTAATATTCTATCATTTTTTTTTTAAATCTCCGAATAATTATTTATATTATACCAATGATTTTTAATTAATTTAATAATCTCTTTCAGATTAATATAATTGTTCGTTTCATTTACGATTTTACTGCGAGTGAAAGATAAATCTTCTATTAAATTAATTTTTATATCTCTCATTTAATCTTCGAATTTTTTATAACTTCATTGGTTTTTGATCTTTCTACCTCCAAATGGGACAGAGCGTCGGCACATTTGTTTTGATTACCAGGTCTATGAATTATCTCATAGTCTTAATTTAATAGCTTCGTGGCCCACCCTATTAAACGAAGGGAATTCCTATGGTTAGTCTATTTTTAGGCGACATAATTATTGCAGGTGAGAATAATTTTGATCATATAGTTAATCTAGAAGAAGTATTAAGAAGATTTGATAAGGCTGAACTGACAAGAACGACCGATAAAATTAAAATTGGAGAGAAGTCACTTACTTATTTAGGTCATGTTATTGACGAATTCGGAATTCAACCTACAGAAGATAAGATTAATACCATAAAAAATTGCAAAACACCGTCAAATGTTAAAGAATTACGTTCGTTTCTTGAAATGATAAATTACCATGAGTCGTTTATAAAAAAATTTCATTCTATTTGTGCTCCTTTATACCTACTAACGAGTAAAAATGTTAGTTAGTTTTGGTCAGCTCAAGAAAATGTAATATTTAATACAGTTAAAGAAGTATTATCAAAAGAAGATACATTAATTCCTTATTTAGCCGATATTCCTGTCGTGATTTCTTGTGGTACTTCCGAAGATGGTCAAGGAGCTGTTATTTCCCACTGATTTCTTACTGGCCAGTAGAAACCGATTGCTTACGCATCGAGGACACTTTCAGCAGCTGAAAATGATCGGGAGGCTTTGGCGATCATGTTCGCTATCAAGAAGTTTTATCAATATATTTATGGAAGACATTTTATTTTACGGATTATAAACCTTTAAAATATTTCTTAGGTGCTAAAAGTGACCTAAATAAAATAACAAATAATCGTTTAATACGGTAGGCGACAAAGCTATTAAATTACGACTATGAGATAATTCATAGACCTGGTAATCAAAACAAATGTGCCGACGCTCTGTCCCATTTGGGAGTAGAAGATCAAAAACCAATGAAGTTATAAAAAATTCGAAGATTAAATCAGAGAATTAAAAATTAATTTAATAGAAGATTTATCTTTCGCTCGCAGTAAAATTGTAAATGAAACGAACAATTATATTAATCTGAAAGAGATTATTAAATTAATTAAAAATCATTGGTATATTGATGATATAAATAATTATTGATTTATTTTATTAAATATAATATTTCGTTTGAAGAAGGATTTATTTTATAATGATAGAATTATTATTCCCGAGGAAAAGTAGGAGGTTTTGAATGTTATTCATCAAGGACATCCTGGAATAGTGGGGATGAAATCATTATGTAGATACTATGTTTTCGGACGAATCTTGATCGAGATGTTGAGTAGTTCGTTAAAAGCTGCAAGAGTTGGCAGGAAAGAAGACTGGGAGCCAGAGAAGTGCCGTTACACACTTGGAACATTCCTCTCGACCTTTGGAACAAATACACATTGATTTGACAGGCCCTGTATCTGGAAAGTATTGGTTAATTTGAGTAGACGCACCATAGGGTTGAAGTTGCAAGTAATAAATAATCTGCGTAATTATTTCGCTAGATTTGGGTTACCATACATTCTCTCAGAAAACGGTACTCAGTATACTGGATCTGAATTCAAAACGTTTCATTTTAAAAACAACATAAAACATTTTAGATCGGCCCCTTGTAGCCCCAAATCGAATGGTTTAGCTGAGCGTTATATACGTATGATAAAGACAGGTTTTTATGCTGGAAGGAGATGTGGGACTCCGGACCAGTTAAATTTAGCGAATGTTTTAATTACCCACCGAAATATTCGGGAAAGGACTGAAAACGCATTATGGAAACAAAAATATTATAAAGAAAGGAACGTTGAGCCCTGTGAATTTGATGAGAAGCAAATGATTTGGTAGAAAACCAAAGGACTACGGGATGGCATGAATGGACAGTAATTCAACGGAAAAGTGCGATATTGTATATGTTTACCATTAATGCGAAAATTGTTAAGTCAACTTTGGAAGAAGTTTAACTTTAGGCACAACTTCAGCAAATTCCTTTCTTTTCAAGTGTTCAAAAGCGATTTAGAAGCAAACGTTTAAAAGTTTCAATTTTATATCATTTAGAAGTTTTAATATATTGAGATCTATGGATTTATATATGTTAGACTAAAAAATGCAAGTACATGTTAAAAGAATTAGAAGTAAATTTTTAATACGATTACCAACATTCATAATTTTACATATTAAAGATTTTAGCAATAAAAAAGAAGATTATTCTCCTTTTGTCTCACTCCTATGTTCTAATTTTTTAAGGCCAAACCTTTTGCGGCAGATGCAAGATTTAGTTAAAATGGTTTTGAGTCCTGCATAACGATATATTATTATTGGATCAAGCTCACTATCAACACACCATTGCATTAATAACTATAATACTTATTTTACTTTTTTAAAAAAAAATTTATATTTTTATATTCCGTTTTTTATTATAATATAAAAATATACCATAGCTTTTATTTAATTTATATAAATATTTCATTTTTTGTTAGCTTGTTTTTTTTCTAATCATCTTTAGAGATATTGCAATCTCTGATTTCCCACCATTTAATATTCCCCGTTATTTACGCGAGACAACATTCCCTACCATTTAAATATAATATAAAGAAAATATTTATAAAATTAAAAAGATTTAGTAAATATATTACATAAAAAAATAAGAATTATACTATAAAATTTTTTAATTTATAAAATTAAAAAGATTTAGTAAATATATTACATAAAAAAATAAGAATTATACTATAAAATTTTTTAATTTATAAAAAATATGGGAAGATTATTTTAAATCATTTCTTTATTAAAGGCGGATTGGCTTGACGGATATTAAATGAATGAAATAATATATATAATATTTTCCAACACAAAAGTTTATAAATTAACTAGAAGAATAATATAATCCAACTCAAAGAACGAGTAATTCTTTTAAAGGGATCTATATAAATATTAAAAAGATAAAAATTCTTTTAAATTTTAATATAGTAGAGTAGATTTCAAATAAAACATATAATTCCCGGATGCAGGCCGGGTAAAAGCGAGCCGTTGAGGGGCGAAACCCCCCAATTATTGGTCTTCTTTTAGAAATGTCCCAATGGGCTTTTAGTCTCTTAGTCCGCCCCTGACAGAATGTATTATTTACTTTATTTTTATGAATTAACAGATAACTCCAATCAAGGATAGTAGCCGACTAGTCATCCGAAATAGTAACCTAATACATTCAGGAGAATATCTTTGTATAGCAAGAACTTCTATCGACAGCGTGCCTAGTAGAATTGCTAAAGTTACCATTGCCGGTTTACATATAATTGACATCTTAACTATATATTTTTAAGATTTGATTTATAATTTTTTGACTTATAAAATTGTTATCACAATTGATCAATAGATATACACTTTAGCAATTTAATGAATGGCACAATACAAAGCCAAGTCTTCTCACTAATTTTAACCGATTTTTTTTAAAAAAATGAGAATATTCTATCAATATGTTGCCTATTCATTGTTGTAAATTTTTTTGCGTTTCCAAAAATATCTGTTCAAACTAGTGTTGTTAAAAGTCATTTTTGAAAGTAACTAGTTACTGTTAGTAGTTACAATCCTAAAAAAGTAACTTGTTATATTTTTTTAAATGCAACTAGTTAATAGTTACAGTTATATTTTAAAAGTAACTAGTTGCATTATAAATTAATTTTTTAATTTTATATATATACAATTTATTTGTATAAAAAAATAACTAAAAAATACAATGAGAGAATATATTTACATCTAAATCAGATTAGCATTACTGATTATTATTTATAAAAATTCTGGCTTAATTAATTTTTATTTGCCTTGCTATTTTATATTCTCTACAAATATAAGCTTCCATTGTGTGAACAAACGTTCTATGGAAGCACTTGATATAAGCACAAAATTATATTTAATAAAAAGTAACTTAAATTTTCATATAAAGAAAAATGTGTTATTATTGGATTATATAAAATTTGCTAAACGATCATTAAAAACAAATTTATGTTGTTTTAGGTTAAAATAAATGAATATGATCAAATGATGATGATTTTGGGCGTATTTCAATTGTTTCAGGATCGCCTTAGGCAATAGAGTTTTCAATATTTTTAGCATTTTTATTTTTTGCTCTATTTTATTTTTCCATCTAAGGCCAATCATTTTTATATAGATAAGGAATTGCAGCAATAACAATTTAAATTTATACTACTTTAAAAAATTAGGTCCACGTGTTATGAGTCTACCCAACTTTAATTCATCACATAATGAATCAAATTATATAGGCATTCCTTTTAAAAATGGTTATATTTTATCTTGTAGGGGGATATGGTAGTTGATAATTTAATCTCATTTTAATCATTTCAAATGATGGCTCAGATTTATTTTGTAAATTTCACAAACGATGGCATTGATGTAGCAATATTATTTCTTATAATTATCGTACTCTAAAAGGATATTGTTGGAATTTTGTATTGCCATTAAGTTTACTATATGCTTAATACATTTTAGAAGAAGACATTAGACATTCTATTTAGATATATTTAATATCTATAATTAACAAATATGAAGATATATATAGTAAATAAGTAGGGCATACCGAAATGCTTTTAAAAAATTTCCTACTTGATCTGTTATTATACATAAATTTTTATTTTGGATACGATACTCTTTAAGAATGGTAGTTAAGGCTTCATTGAGTACATTATATATAAGCCTTATGAAATCTTTGACAGGTTAAAATGGCTGAACGTTTTTTACAAATTAATCACATCAATCCAATGCACAGTTACACAAATATAGAAAGAAGTTATTATATATTTAATAAAATCAAAATATTTTTTGAAGCTTGGACAAGTTATTTTTACATTTAGTCGTTGTTTTATAATACTTTTAGAAGTGGGTGGTACATCTATTTCGTCATTCTAAATCATTTGATTACCATCCTCATCAAATTACTAGTCAGCCAATCATATTATGTTTTGTATCTGTCAGATTCATTGGTCTGATAAATTATCCGTATAAAATATTAAAAAAGGAGCTACAGAATCAAACATTTAATCAAAATTCTAATTAATTTAAAATAAAATATTATATTATAACATATTAATAGCAAAATAATTATTTGAATATATTTATTAAGATGTATAGAAAAAATATTTTAAAAAGTAACTAACTACTTTCGGCAGTTACATTCCAAAAAATATAACTAGTTACAGTAATATTTTGCAAATAGCTATTTACTTTAACAACACTAGTCCTAAAATTTATATTACCACACAAAAGGTATTCCTTCTGCGCCTAGTATGATAACCGCCTCCGACATATCAACCACCACGGCCAAATTAACGTGGACCAATGGAGGAGACAATGGGCAACCTATAGTACGATATGTTATACAGGGAAAAACCGATTATAGGGATTGGTTTGTGTTGGCAGAAGGTTTGTATTTTTTATGACACTTTTCAAAGCTCTAATAATCAGCCTAATAGTATAATAACACAATAAAATTTGATTTTATCACCGTTGGGATAAGTGTTAAACCTCTCGATTTGAGCTGATTTTTTAAAACGGCGAACTCAATATTTTATCCAGAAAAACATTACGCAAACCTGAAGATTTTGCTCATTGGACTCTATTAGCCAAATCTCGAGGCTTAATAAGTATTCTTCTGGAGTTAGCCGTTTTTAATCGATCAAGATTTTTGCCTAACTTAGATATTTGTCCAAATTATAAAGACTTTTACTTTCTAATAGTAGTTAATATGAATTTGATCGAGTCACAGAACTTTGATTAAATTAAGCAGTTGCCCCAATTATCAAGAGCCCAAATTAAATTAGTTTTAATGTGTATAATAATCCTTTGCAAACTCTCATAAATTTTAATTAAAACAAAATCTGATCATTGGCCATCAGCTTCAAAAACATTATCTATACCATATCCGCCATTTTTTATTATCTTTGTTATTTACATTTATCTCGCATTACCTAATAAACCTCATTATTTTCATAAATGATAAGATCGACAAGATTTATGCATAATTAGATTTGCAGCAAATTAATTGTTTAAAATAATAAGGTTGAAATAATCTATTGATACAAATTATTAATGCATCATATTTTGTCCATTAAAAATTTGCGCAGTTCTAGCTACCGGCGTTAAAAATCTCTCCCCGTCTTTGAGCTCTTCATCACCTCAATATTATTCTTCCTATTCCCACTCCCTACAAAATCTCCTGCCTCGCAACACCTACACTTTTAGGATAGCATCTACTAATGCTTTAGGACAAGGAAAATTTAGTTCAGAATCTGCCCGTTATGTTACGGCTTCAGACGCCCCCAGGGTAGCCCCTAGGCAATTGAGAGGCGGAGGAGGAAATATGGGTGACCTTGTTATGAGATGGGAGGTTATTTTTTTTAAAAATAATGCTTATTGAATTTTTATAGTAATACAGCATGATATTGAGCCATATGTTATCAATCTATGGTATGAAAGACATATACCTTATTATTTTAGAAGTTATACGGATAATCACTTATTATACTTAAGTCGTGTCCTGGTTCATCTTATTTTCTAAACAGTAGTTTGTTTAGCCGTCTATATGGCTTCTAATCAAACGCTCTATATATTTTGACTTATTTCACCAAAATAAATACTGTATTTTGTTCTTATTTCTCCAAAATATATATTGTATAAAAAAATGTAAAAAATATTTAAAAATAATTATGTTGATAAAAATGTCTAGTAATTGAGCAAAAATTATAACTTAAAATTGAGCATGTTTAATTAATTAATATATAAATCTATATGTATTCTAAATCACCATCAAATTTGCAGTTTAATGACTTCTATCTCGATATATAATATTTACTTTTAGAAAAAAGTTAAAAAGCTCAATTACTGGGAGATCAAATAAAACTTTTTTTATATTTTATTTTACACAGTCTATATTTTGACGAAATAAAGAGAAAGAAATATGATGAAAATATATAATTGATTTGATATTAAACGTTTATACCAGGAGACGGCCTAACTATTTTTTTTAAGAATTCGGAACCAATAATTTAATTTTTTTATAATATATCTTATTTCCATTTTTTTATAAAATATTTAAATAACAATCTTAACAATTCTTCAGCCTTTATTAGGTGATGAACATGGAGGGCCCGGCCTGCATTACGAATTATTTTGGATTAAAAAAGAGGATTGGCTGAGATCGAATCAAAAGGGAAAATTTGAGGTGGCACTCTTGCACGACCCTAACAAAAACTTGTACGTAACTCGGGTAGGAAAAGAAAACTATTTTATGGAATACATGGTCAAGATAAGAGCCATTAATAGCATGGGAAAAGGGCCAGAGAGCGAACTTGTCACTGTCATGTCTGCAGAAGATGGTTATTTTTTTAAAAAATATTTGAATATCATAATTTTTAATTTACAGTTAAAACACCGATTTAACTTTTTACCTCTTTAATTTCCGGTTTCATTAAAGCTTTAAGCTTTTTTTCTTTAAATGCAAACAAAGGGGGAAGGAGAAAAATAGCCGGGAACGCGATATGGTCATTTATCTAGATTAACTTTTCCCTTCTATTTGTGTTTGCCCGAGAAACGTTCATATTTTAAGAAGGTCATAACCAAAACCGACCTTAGTTTCTTTAGTCGGTCAAACATAATATGGTCCGTCCACCCGTCTATTTAATAGGGGAGCCTTCGCTCACATAATCCCTTTTGACAAGGTTGGGAGAAAGACTGACCATATGTCCTTTATTAGTTTAATGATATTTAATATAAAAATCGATTTGGTCATCAAAACAATATCTGGATATAATATAACATGTGTTAAGTTAGAATCCGATTGAAATTATTCAGATTTCTGAACTGAATTGAAAAAATAAATATTTATACTAATTTACTTAAAATTTTACTGTATTATTTATATTATTATTTTAGTGATTAAATAATTTACCAAGTTTTTTTGTACTTTTAAATATATACAAAAAAAATGATTAAAAAATGACTACCTAAAAAAATAATTTTGTTATAGTAATTTAAACTTTTTGTAATTTTAATTGGAACTTCATTTTTGAAAATTGTATAGTTATTCTTTATTACTATATACTATATTGTCTAAAATAAAGTACCTACCAAAGAACCCACCCTGGTTCAAGCCTTCCCTCACAATTCTACGGCCATAAATGTTCGGTGGAAAGGGTTGGGTATAACTAGAGATCGCGAAATCATAAGAGGACAATTGCTCGGTTACAAAATTCAGTACGGACTCATGGAAGAAAATATCAACAAAATCGAGGACAAAATTTTGCCTCCACCCATATCGAGTAACCCTGAAAATGGTCTCGACGAAAGTCGCCTAAATAAGGATAACGAGTTCGTTGCCAATGATAGAAGGACGACCATTTTATACGGTGCCATCGATGTGGGGACAGTCATAGGGATCGTGCCTAATTGTAGGTATTGGGTTAAGGTCATGGCTTTTAATAGTGCCGGAAATGGACCCTTATCAGATCCTGTTTACATGAATACTTTTAGAGATGGTAGATCATTTTTAAAAAAATATATTTATAAATAATTTTTCTTCTTCTTTGTTTCTGAAATTCAATTTTTTAAATATTGTTTTCAAGGTCTTAAATAAAAGTTAATCAAATATAAAGTTTTTTTAAAAAAATTGTAGATATTACATTATAATTATAATGTGAGCCAATGATACGCATAAAATTGAATTATTTTTTTTGAATAATCTATAATTTTGATATAAAAGCTCCTTTAATGCAACCGACCGATATAAGTATCAGTGGACCCAATTCGGACGGCGCTATTAGGATTACTTGGAGCGGAATTTACACGTCAAATAACGAAGAACCTCTCGAAGGATACAAAGTTTATCATTTTAATTGCACTTTATCACAAAAATGTTTGAATTAAAGTATTTGTGCTATGTACGTGTAAGAGTATGAATATTAGTAATTAAAGTTAACATACATAACATTTCTCAAGGGAGCAAATGATTCGGTTTCGAATTCGCAAGACGCTTATTACGTAATTAAGTTTGTTTTTTAACATCAGGAATGCTTATTATATGATCAGAAAGATTTTTACATTGCAATATTTGGTTATATTAAGAAAATGAACAGTTCATTTTTTTTAAATTATAAATATGACATTTATTGCCTCTAACTAATAATATAGTATCAAATTTTTAATAATATTCAAATATTTGAATTTTTTATTCGATTGTTACTATTCGTAATATAATTATTCCAATTTCATCTTCGCGAATATTATTCTAAATAGTATAAGAATATTATTCGAATAACAATATTTTCTTATAAATGTGTTTAATTTAATATTTTCCACCACCTTCGATTTTTTGAGCTGGCTAGATTAACTAAAAATTGAGAAGAATAGAAGAATCCGATAAATGCTTTTTATCCATGTAATAAATTTTTTAAAAAACATTTTGATTAGTCATTTTTAGGCGCGTAACATGGGAGAGAAATTTTACCTCCCCCCCCTACCCCCAGTCAAAATTTTGCAAATATTTGAATATCAATTCTCCAAAATAAAACTTATTTTTTAAAAATAAATTTTATGAAAATTTCCTCTCCTTGTGAGTATATTAACATTATTCAAAAATATTAATAAAATGTAAAATATTTTAATTAAAGAGATAGAAATAAAACGGTAATTTATTTTATCATTATGATTATTTCTAGTTATATCTATTATGAATATTTTATTAAATTCAAAATTATTAGTGAGTTAGGAATTAATAAGTATTTTTTATAATATTTTAGTTATTAATAAATATCTAGAATTTTTTAATACTTCCATTTTGTAGAACAAAAAAAATAGAAATACAAAAGTTAAATAAGGAGCATGAAAAAAAATGAACAAATACAAAGTGGAAAAAAAATGGTAATGGTGATAGGTAGCATATATTTTATGAAAATCAGGTTTAAAGAAGGGGAGGGGCATATTCTTTTCAAAAAAAGTTTGATTTCAGCTGGGTTGAGCCATGCGCCTGCTCTGGCTGTACTCAATAATAAATAATTTTTTTAAAAATATACATGCAACATTATTCAGAAATTTCCAGAATATCAAATAAAGGTTTTAAATTTAACTTTCATATAATTTACATTTTACAATTATTAAACTGTCAATTTTCATAATCAAATATCGCGATATAAATATTTTAATTTCGATCTGAAAGGAGAAAATACATAAACACTTTAAATAGGTATTGGATTTAAAATCTTTTATCCTTCTATTCTATACATATTACAGAATGCGATTAATTTATAACAAAATATAAACATCTATTTGCTGATTTTAAAATATAATCAAATGAACTGACATTCTCCTTAATTACCCGGCGGTATCCTCCTAATATGACCATTTTATTTTTTATTGTAATATTTCAAGAAGAATTAAAAATGTTAAAAACTTGTTTGTAACATTTAATCTTTTCAGATTAGGATATGGGAAGGTAGGGAGGATATAAGCGATTACGTTGATATACCAGTAGGACTCATAAATTTTCACGATATATACTCCTTTCCTAAACACAAAGTCTTCAAAATACGAATACTTGGATATAGTAGAGGCGGCGACGGTAAAATGAGTCAGGCGTTTGAAGTTTGTTTGCGTAAGTTTAAATTAATAATATTGTTATACCTTTCTTTGATTTAAAAAAAAATATACTAATTGCTGTTTCTGTTAATAATGATAATGAGATATAGATGTTTGTTGAGAAATTTTTTTTAAAATTAATACTAAATATCAATTTGAGAATTCAAAATGAAATCCTTACCTTAATCATTCATGAATTGGAAGTGTCAATTTTATAAATTTATTTGATAACATCTTTTCTGTTTACATTACATATTCGCATCAAAAGATTTGAGTCTGGGCTAGTGTATGAAATATTTTACAAACTAATGTTTTAAAAAATATATATATAACATAATGTTTCTTTTAGCCTGATATTATGATTAAGTTGCGGTATATTTATTTGAAATCTATCCTTTTTTTAAAAAAAAATCTATATATTTCTAGAATGCAACGAGATAGAAAAACAAGATCACATTGAAAGATTGAGCCAAGAATATATGGCAAAATTTGACGATGACTCTTACAAAACGTATCCATCTTCCCACGGGATCTCGAACATTCCAAATTTTCTAAATTACAAATTTTTAGTCACCTTATTATGTACAATCTATGCATTTTCTTTGTTGAAAATTGTTTGATTTCATATTATTTTAATGTATTATAAGTAATTGTACATTATATCAAGAAAAATTGCTTTCGATTCGTTATCCGTTCCCCGTTATAAAAATTTTTCATTTTTTTCTAATAAGTAGTTATATAACCTTTTTTTTATTTTATACGTGAAACCAAAAAAAGTACTCATTAACATCTCATCTCAACTTATTACAATCATCTTAAAATATTTTGCCTTTTATAATCATTTTTAGGGCATTGATTTAATATACGCATTGAAATTAGGATTTTGTTTTAAAATAAATATTTTTTTATCAATTTTTATTCTCATTTATTCATGTTTGATTTTTTTTAGAGATATGAATGAGTAAATCTTTATATTCCTCTCTTCATCAGCCTTCGAATTATACATCGCCATTTCTAACTCGAACACATTCCGTCATATTAATTTTTATAATATAATTAATATTCATACCCTTAAAATTTTGCTATAATTGTTAAATTTAACGGCAATATTTTGTTATTTCTTAAACCTCCTCATCAATCATTGAAAATTTTATTTAATAATATTTTGATTTATTTTAAAAAAATAAATATTTAGATGGGGTAGGTTTTAGGTTAGGAATTTAAACTTAAAAATATTACCCTCAGGAAATGTTAATCACATTTTTTAGACCTTTAATTCAATTTAACAATTCCTTATTTTAAACATTCCTTCAAATAAATTTTTTAATATTTATAAATTATTTTTTTTACGCTAAATTTTTTTAAAAAATGGATATTTTAAATTTTACAATCATTCGAATTTATATTTTATACGCATTATACATTTTTTTAGAGTTATAGCAAATTTTTATATGAATTAGTTTTTGAAAATAGATATTATTTTTTAATAATTTATTTATTTTTTGTATACTCATAATTTTTTTTAAAAATGATAATACTATTATCAGAGTAAGGACTTTTTTCTGGAATAGGATTCTTCTCGTCTGATAGATCATCATTGCGAGCAGTCCATTTTAGGCATAGCGTCATTGGAATGAGTTTTGTCCAAGATATGGCATCCTTAAGATGGAATGGTCTTTCGACGGCTGTGACATTTTTTATAATAATATTGCAAAATATGATTATTTTTATTTGAAAATTCTAACTTTTTGACAAATTGGTGTCTTTTCTTGCTATATTTTTTCTGATATCTCCCCGTGAATGAGATATTTCTAACCAAGAATAATTTTATACAAGATAAGACCTAATAATATATATATAATTTACCTACTAAGAATAATCAGGATAACTTGGAACACAAATCAGGGTACATTGAAACTCCAAAATTTTAGATTATTTTACACTTAATTTTATTGATTTAATAACTAATATACTAAATTCAAAATACTAGGGAAAAAAAATTTGCATAAATTTTACGATTTAATAACTAATTTAAATGAAATTAAAATTTTCGATAATGAATTATTTAAAAAAAATATATAATGTATTCATAAAGCTTGACAGCAATCATGACCATTTAAGATTGTATTAAAAATAATGTTTTAATTAGATTTCAAAGAAGGCAAAAATATTGATTAAAATTTAAAGAAAAGGAGTAAAGATAAATCTTTTAACGGATAACCTCCGATAGGATTTGATTGATTTTAAGATGTAGTTAACTAAACTTTTTTTTAATCAAAAGAAAATATTTTTTATGTTTACTATAAATTAAAGCTAAACTATAGAAATATAGAAGTAGAGATAACATTTATATTATATTTTTGAGTGTATCTTAAATACAATGATAGTAATGAGATCAAATCACCACATATTTTCCAACTCATTTTTACTTATCTAAGAACAATATGACAACTAACTAATACTATGTTTTGTTTTATTTAAAAGAACAGGATTTATTAAATTTCGAAATTTAAAAAAAATACCAAATCAAAATGGCGAATACTGAAGAAATTTGATACCATGTTAACTAATAAATTTTTGACCTTATTAAGACCTTAAATTTGAGTGAATATGAAGTTATCTTTTTTTATGAAGGGATATTATTTATAATTATGTATTTTTTTTAATATAGAGTTTTCAATATTAAATAGGATTGGTTGCTTCTATTGATTGGTTAATATTTTACTTTTATATGAATGAATAGCTATTTTTTTATAAATTTTAATTAAAAAGAAGCAGTTGTATAATCAATTTAAAAATAAAAATTGATATTAATCTTAATTCCGTAAATTAGCAGGGCAATAGTGATTGCCTTTGTAGTTTGGGGTTGAGACTTTTTAAACCTATAATAATAATTCATAGAATCTTTCCTTAAGTATAACAAGAATAAGCATAAGATCATAGTGTAAAAAATATTATTACACTTTTGTATATTTCTTTTTGTAAGACTCAACTATAAACTTGGATATATAATATTTATAAATTTTATTGATATATTTTGGGATTAATTTTTTTGCTTATATGTAATCAATTAATATCGCTAAAACATATAGTTGCAACCTCATATTTATTGTCAATTATCTAAATATATTTATTCTCAATAATATTAAATATACTTCTCCGATCAATTGACCGACTTGCCAACCCTGTCTATAATAGATATCATCTTGGGGTAAAACACCCCTACTCCATTAAAAAAACTATGCAAAATGTAAAGTTTCTTCCTTCTTCCCTTCCCCTCCCTACACTTTTTTTCACTTCCTTCTTAAACCATTTTATTATTGTGAAGATTATGTTTTATGAATGATATCCGAATATATTTCATGGTAATAAATTAGGCTAAAAAAGACAAAAATATTGTAATATATCAATTCATATTATATATGATAAGATTACCAACACTGTTTAAAATAAAATAATATATACTTATACAGTTTATGTAAATAAATGGTTATTGTAAGAATTTTAATTTATTTATGTAGATACACATTGAAGAAAGAATATTTTAGAAAAACCCGTATCCCTATTGATTTTTTATTTTTAAAAAAACATATTTCTTAAGCTCAGAATTACAAACATTTGAAATAATATTCTATACTAAGGTAACATCATATGATTCGTATGAAGTTGGCAGTACAGGAAGCACAAATTCTTAACGTCAATATTTAATATAATTTATGCTTAGCTTCCTACCGGATGTAAAATATTAATAAAAAACTACATTAAATGTTTTTTAAACTTTTATAGTATTAATATTTACTAAAAAAACTAAGTTTATACTCATATTATAAGATTTAATAATAATTTTGTTAAATATATATCATATTATATGCTATATAAAAGTATTATACTTAGCGCAAACTCTAAAATTTAAAAATTATAATAACGCAAATCATACAAATAAAATTTTTATAATTCCTTTTTTCTATTTGATCTTTTTACCCAGAACCACAACTAAACTATTTGTGTGTTTAATTTTTTGAAGAGCCTATTTACATAAATATTTTATTTTTTGATTTCGATGTTGCTTTAAGTTTTCATAGAATAAAAAGATTTCTATTCTAAGAAAGCTTGCTCTATAATTGTTGTATTTTTTTGTTTAAATTATCCAATTATTGGTTTTGTTGAGGGAACAAATTTTTCAAATAAGTAAAAACATTAATTTATTCATTGTTTAGGAGTAAAAAGTGTTATATTTGTTGTAATTGTAAATGAAACTATTTTTTTTTACAATACTAAACTTTAACATTATAAGTTTTGTCCATTTAAATTTACAATAGGCAAAACTGAAGAGTTTCGTGTCAGTAAGGATAAAAACAAACATTAAATAAAGGTAGAGCCATTGTATTAACTACAATCATGTGTTAAATATGCGAGAGTTTATTTTGCTTCTCATTTTAATTGATCCGGTCCCGATTTTGTAATGATTGAAGGTGTGTCATACCTGTTGATCAATATAAAAGAGTATATCTCATCCCTGGTTGATCAATCTTGGAGGGAATCTTTACAAGCGATTGGAAAATATAGAGAAAATAAAAAGTCAATTATAAAAGATTAGTTGACTTCGAATAAATCTTGGCAGAATTTTCATTTGAACTAATTTAGTGTCAAAAATAACACTATATCTGAGGCCTATATCAAATTTATATATATAATAATAAAAAATTCAAAACATATGGTTGAAGCGTGGAGTGTCAAATATACTTATAAAAGGTAGGTATTTATAAAGATTCTGTGTATCACTTATGTTTACCATAGTTCTACGACGTGTAACAGACAATTAAAAGAATGAATCCTCTTGGGAAATGCTTGCAAATGATAATGTGGCGTTTTTGCAGTTAGCTTTAGGAAGGGATGATGGATCAAAAAAATAGAAGTTAAATTATTAATGCTCAGTATTCATAATATTGAGGTAACAGATTTTCATAAATATTTTATTAATCAAAATCATTTTCTGAAGGTGATACAAAATAAAATCATTTTGAAAATACATTTATATTATTCTTTCTCGGTGTTTTTCTTAATTGAATAAAAAATCATTTCAGTTGTTGGATGGGGGAAGGGGGGGGGGTATCAAAGGATTTTCTTTTTTAATATTAAAATGTTTTTTTTTCTCTAAGAATAATTTTGAATTATATTCATTATTTTAAAAAAATTAAAAATTAGTAACTTTTGCTTATTTTCTTTTAGATTATTTGTTCATGATAAAATATTGGATATTTGGGGGAGAGGAGGTAAGGTGAGTGTGGGAGAACAGAAGAGTTTTCGAAAAGAGGAGAAAAAATCTCAAGTTTTTTTTCTTTATGCTAATGGTCAAAGGTAAAATAGAATGTCCTAATGTGTTGTTTAAATTAAATAATGATCTTAAAATAAAACTATGATTATATTGTGTAGTAGGTAAAATACTTAGGATATACACTGAATGGTGGTTTGAAATGAACTATATCACAAAATAAACAGGATGGATAAAATACCTATAATTTAGTGTATTCTGCATAGGCCCTGATTTTTCAAGATAGGCTCAGCCCGAAATTTTTTTTCAAAAAAAATGTGTCCCCCGATTTCTAACAAAATTTTTCTTTTATTTATCCCGAAAAGCTCCACCCGAAATAAAAATAAAAATTATATGTCCACCCGATCCGAATTTATTTAAATACAATAAAATTTAATATTTTTTTAATAAAAAAGATTAACCCTCTTGTCTCTTGCAAGGATTTTAAAATATATCAATTTATTTGACTAAATAATGATATCATATTTAAAAATTTAAGCCCGACAACATTTAAAAAAAAATAATAGGCCCGACCCAGCCCGAACCGAAATTATATTTTAAAAATGAACCCTGACCCAAAATCTGTTTGGGCCGGGATGGGAATCATTTTTGAAAAAAAAATAATCATAGAGGGCAATTGCTATCAATATTAACAAAAAATAGTCACTGGTATTTTAAAAAAGCAATCTATGGGGATTTGAATCGATTTAGAATTAATAACTAAGGGCGGTTTTTTGAAAAAATTCGATTTATCCGGAAATCTATTTTAGCATGTAGAGGCAATCTATCCTATCAATTTCAAAACTCTTCTTCGCCATAAACTTTTGTGTATTTTGTAATTTATATGAAAAATATAAATTAAGAGTATAATTATAAAATTCATAATGAAGTGGGTACTCGTCAGATTTTTTAAATTTAAAAATCGCGCGCCATAAATGATTTAAAATGGAAAGATTCCGAATCTCCATGGTTTACATATCCCAATACGACAT